CAGAAATTTTCAAAGCGGAAATAAGTGACAATCACATGACGGTTTTTCAATTAGACTAAATACAATTTTGGTGTAAAATGTTACATACTGCCCCTTTAAGAACGCATCAGATGTACTCTCTCACCTGCCTCCACCGCCAGTTGTTTGGGGTCCATCGGGAGCGCCCACTGAGCCAGCCCCAACAGGAACATCTCCGGCCAGCTACTCTGCAGGAGGAGGTGCTACACGGGGAGGCACATGGCACACTGTTGGGTTTATTTAGTCAATGATAAAGGTAGTCCCATGGCCCTTTTTGAGGCCGTACGGGACACTGTAGGTTGTTATCTACCGTGTCCAGAGCACGGCACTGGAAGGCAGTGCCCAACCCTATCCTTCCACCGCCTATTGCCAATAGCGTGAAATTTGTGTTACAATAATGTAGATCCAAATAAAGAAAACAAACAGACAAACAAACAAACAAACCCACCTGGTCATGACTAGAGAGTGTTAGGAATGTCGGGATACTCCTGACCCAGTGCAGGGTCATGTTGAGTAGTCTCGCTGCAGACTCCTGGACAGGCTCCGTCTTACAGGACCATCTCTGGAGAACCTCTACCGGGTACTGGTGCAGGGGAGAACGGGCAGAACAGCAAGAGTTAAAAGACTTTTTTTAGTTTTAATCAGCTGTGCATTTAACCTTTGAGTAAGGCCACAGCAAGTAAATTTTATGGATAACATCCTCAACAGACTCCAAATCTAATGCAAGCGGGCGAAAAAAACAAGGCGGGCCGAAAAAAACAAGGTTCCTACATTTTAAAATTTTGACTCAATCATTGTACAAATGGTTTTGATTCAGTGGGAACATCACATATACACAGCCAGCATAACATATCACTGCATCAAAGTAAGAAACAAAACGTTAAATCGAGGCCTTTTCTTGTCTCCTCTCTTCAGTTATTTGCCATCCACCTTCCGGCATGGCAACAGACATCTTGCCCATTTTCCACATGTTGACCCCTGTCAGAAGGCAACAAAATTTCATGTTTTTTTTTTTCCAAAATCAGGCGAAAATTAATGCGCGCGCTGATGTCATCCATAAAAATTACTTGCTGTGGCCTAATGGAAACATACAGATAAACATACATATTGGCCAGGGTAAACTCTTGTTTAGTTCACGTCCGCTCCGATAGTGTCTACCCACCAACCATCTAAGGCCATGTTGATTTGATTATATGGATAACATCCACGCGCGCATGAATTTTCGGCCATTTCCAAAAAAAAAAAGTTTTCAACCATACTGTAAATCGTGCAAAACAGTTGCTAAATGAGCAAAAATATACCATAAGTTGCAAGGAAAACATTTAGAAACGATACCAATGTCGTAGAATGCCAAAATCAAAGGAAAAAAGACAAAAATATGTAAAGAAATGAATTCGAAGAGTAGATTATTCACCATAACATATTCTGTGCCATTTGTTCAACCTTCATGACCACGTAGATTTCATAGTGAAAGCAACTTTTTTTTTTTGCAAAACTTTTTTTTTATTCGCACGCGCGCATCAGTTTTGGGGTTCCCGGAGGATGTCATCCATATAATCAAATCAACATGGCCTAATATCAAAAGCAGCATAACCACTTGTTACGTAACATGAATGTTACTGTATGTGGTCATTAACTGGATGTGCTAGCTTAACGACAGAGATAGCATCATTACAGCACAGTAGGGATGTAAAATAAGTCTTCATGTCAAAAGTTGCCCATGTCCTACGAGTACATGATATTTTTTTGGCAAAACTTCATGCAGAAAACCACTATGAAACCTCTATGTAGGATTTTTGAATGGGGTTGTTTCAACAGTTCCCACAGCAGAAACAATATCGATTTCATTCACCACAGACACCATATACAGTCCAAATTATTACCCCAGAAATATGTCTTTATCACTCATTAACTTTCATGTCACATCTGTATAAGTGTAGTGTCTACTGATGAAAGGTCAGCATTCTTTTTATTTGTATGGGAATGACAGCCAAAGTGTCAAGGTGTGACATGAACTCAAAGAAATTAATACTGGTGTCAAAAGTATTTCAAATTATTGGTAGACTTTTGGATAATTGAAGCCTTTGTCTAGAGTTGCTTGTTATGTATATTAGTCCTGCCCAAACAATATTCAGTATCAAGCTATTGGTTTGAAAAAACACTTACCCTAGGGTGTCTGGTGTCATACAGATTTGATTTCCATATATGGAGTTGGCGGTATGGAACATGACCTTATTTGGTGTCATGTTGGAAGGTGTGTACTTTGTAGATGTGTGGGTGTGGCAGGAAGTGATGTCGTCTGGCAGGTTTTTCCTTGTTTGGACAATGAGGCAGGTCCACTTTTAATTTTAACTGCTGATTGGTCCTTTGCAAACACCTTACGGTCACCATCAACTGATTTTACCTTTTATAAGTTTAGGAAACACCAAGTTTAATTCATGGGTGACTTACTATAGAGATGTAACCTTACCTTACTTAACCCAAACACTCAGGTCAACTCTTAGTAACTTATATTTACTTATAACTGATATAAGTAAGTCTGATTGGTCCTTTGCAAACACCCGACAGTCACCATCAACTGATTTTACCTTTTATAAGTTTAGGAAACACCGAGTTAAATTCATGGGTGACTTAGTACGGAGATGTAACCTTACCTTATCCCAAAACAGTCATGGCCTCTATGAAAAAGTGACCTGCAGGCTGATTTTAACTTCTCATGCATAAACAAAGGTTCAAACAAAGATACAACTACTGTTGCATTCGTTGACATTTCAAACACAAACAGGGCATAATATGTGGTGTAACAGTGCAGCAAAAATGAAACTTTTGTCTATACTTTGTCTGTCCCTTACCTTTTCCCTCATGACCTCAATGACAAAGCAGCCTGCAGGCTGATCTACTGACTAAGATGCTCATGAATAAAGAATGGTTTTGAGCCGAAACCTGAGGCACAGTCATCCTCACTTCATGGTGGTCTGTTGTTGTCAGGACTGTTGTCACTGCTGTTCTGTGATGTTTGACCCATACAACATTAAGGCACCGTCATGTATAAAGACAGATTCCTGCCCCCTTACCTTTTACATATGACTCAGTGTTAGCACTATCAGGAAACTACAGTCACACAGTCCCTGCCTGAACAGGTGATCCTTGACGTGTTGGTAGAAGGTCTCTGAGTCATGGAGTCTGTTTATATTTGTGTCTTCTGTGTCTCGAAGGTGACAGGAAAAAACTTGTATCTGTGGCAGACAACGCCTAGTTTTGTGTCACTTCCTCCTGAGATTTCAGGAATACTTCGAGTCACTGACTAGCTACTACGTACACTGTAGGCACATTGACCCTGGAACCAAGGAGCTTGCCTCTATTGCACGTGTAGGTTCTAGAAAGAGTCTGACATCCAGGCTATTTGTGTAGGTGTGTGTGTGTGTGTGTGTAGGTGTGTGTGTGTGTGTGTGTGTGTGTAGGTGTGTGTGTGTGTGTGTGTGTGTGTGTGTGTGTGTGTGTGTGTGTGTGTGTGTGTGTGTGTGTGTGTGTGTGTGTGTGTGTGTGTGTGTGTGTGTGTGTGTGTGTGTGTGTGTGTGTGTGTGTGTGTAGGTGTGTGTGTGTGTGTGTGTGTCTGTGTGTGTGTGTCTGTGTGTTTCCATGTTTGTGTGTATGTGGTTTGTATTATTTCTAGTTTCTCCAAGTGTCTACTAATATATCTAACTATTACCCAGCCATATGTGATACGTCACAACTACTGGCAATGGACTTGTAGCTTCATATAAACCACAACTTAAATAAGTAGCCTTTCTTTCCTTCATCTTTTGTGCCTTTTCTTCCATGAATACTCACTGTCATAAGGTTGGTAAGACACTGAGTAAAGAGACTCTTTTTACACAACCAAGTCTTTTATTTAGCCGACGTTTCGGTGACTGTCTGTCACCTTCCTCAGGGCAATTCTGACTGGTTCACATTGCACTGCAGCACAGGTGTCGCTGCTATAGATGCATTCCCAAATGTACAATATTCACATATCTACATGTTGTGCCTTTCCCCCAGTTGCAGCTGAGAGTCCCCAGCCCAGCGGTTTGTGATGAGACAGTTTCCGGCGAGGTGAACGACCTCAGGACACCTCTCCAGTGTTAACTCCCAGCAGCCGTCGCCATGGCGCAGGGCGTGGCCGGTAGCCATGGCAACATGCGCATGTTCGAGGAGCTGTGCCGACGATTCCAGGAGGTGCCGCAGAACGTGGTGGTGGACGTCATGAGAAAGGTATCTGTTTCTTTTGTTTGTTTAGACTATTTCAATAAACTTTATCCATAACAATAGTGATATAGGGTTGAAATAAAAATATATAGCCACATGGAAAAGTAGTGATGTTAACAAAACTTTATTATGAGATGGATTACTTGGTTGGTTTTAGCCCATGATTTCCAGGTTTAAACTTACTAGCCAAATTCTGGCTAGTCGGGCAAAACACAAAATGCAGTCAAACCTGTACAAGTTATCACCTGCACATAAGGACCACCTGGCAAATTTTTTTGGTCCCTTAGATAATTTTTCCTGTCTATACTATAGTGACCACCTGTCCACATCAGTCCCCTGAGTGTTTTTCCTTGGCAGTTTTGACTGTATATTGAAATTTTCCTTTTCCCTTTCAGAACGGGAGTAACTTCGAGCTGTGCTGCCAGGAGCTGCAGCAGGAGAGTGGGAAGTATCTGTACGGAGACTTCCAGACAGCGGCGGCGGGGGAAAACGACATGATGAGCAACCACATGAAACAGCTCAACATCGGCGGGAAACAACCACCAGACGACCACAGACACGGGTTACACCATTGCGCGAGCACCCCCGCGTTTCTACCTAGTGGCGCGAACCAGCACGGGACTTACCACGAGGATGTTCACACGGCGCCAGTTTTACCGGTGGGGCAAAATCCGTTTTTAGCGTCGATGAGATCGCCACAGCACGTACAGAGATACGGCCCAACGGTTCAGATGTACGCGGCACAGTTCGGACAAGGAGGGAACCATTATGTCGGTGGGACTATGCCGCCTGGATATGGACAGTCGTCGGGGAGAAGTACGCCTAGCCCTGCTCCAACACCCCCTCCCCCGGGAAACCAGCAACAGATCTCCCCCCAGACCCCTCAGACCCCGCCCCAGGTTCACTCCCCGCCCCCCTCACAGATGCACACCCCCTCCCCCCAGGAACAGAGACAATCCCGCAGCCAGACCAACTCCCCCTTCCCCCCCATGTACCAGCAGCTCACCTCCCCTCAGCAACAATACATGTACTTCCCACAGCTCCCCTACCAGATGATGTCCCCACCCCAGGGGTACCCTCCGCAGGGGTCCTTCCCCTCCCCCCAGGGGCAGTACGGCGGGGTCTTCACCTCCCCCCAGGGGCAGCCCCTTCCGGTGGTGCCGGGGTTTTACCAGCCGTACTCGCAAGGACCTCAGCAAGGACAGTTCATGTCGGGTCAGTGGCCTCAGGTGACCCCGCCGGGGTATAACCCCATGTACGACCGCAGGATGTCCGGCGGGAGCGAGAGTTCAGGTCAGGGGTCACCTTCCCACGCTCCTCAGCTGCCGCCGTGGAACTTTCAACAACAGCAGCAGCAACAGCAGGCGTGGCACGGAGGTCAAGGTCAAATGCACGGGGGTCAAGGTCAAATGCACGGAGGTCAAGGTCAAATGCACGGAGGTCAAGGTCAAATGTTTCCAAGGGCGCACAGCCCGTACCACAGAACGGACTCCCCGCGCGGCGGGCACTTAGACGCCCACTGGTCGCCCAAACATTCGCCACGCAGCCAGAGCCCCAGCCCAGGGAGGTCAGGGTGGGGTCACGGGGCGACGCCGCCGCACCAGTACACCCCTCCCGGGCAGGGTGGGCAGCCCCGCCACCACGGCCCCTACCAGCGCTCGCTCTCCTCACAGAACCACCAGTATTCCAGCCTCAACCTCCCCCCGCACGGCGGCTACCACCCCCCACAGCCGCCCAACAAAACTCACGACTCACCCCGAAGCTCCTTAGTGTTCACCCAGCCCCTCCACGTCCCCACACACTCCACCTACTCCTCCCCAGGCCGACCAGCCATGTCTGTCACAACACCAACCTCCAACAACTCCACACCCACGCCAACAAAAACACCCAGCCAGCCCAACCTGCTCACACCCGAGCACCCGGAGGAGCTAAGGTCGGAAACGGGCACACCCCCGCCCCCGATTCTCCCCGTCATCTCCCCAGCATCCAGCCATAGCAGCCTGTCGTCAGCAGAGAGCAGAGACCGTGGACAGAGGCCCAGCACTAGTAATGACAACTATGCATACGAACAAGGTAAGGACTAGTAATGACAACTATGCATACGAACAAGGTAAGGACTTCAGATAGGAGCTCAGGGTTCCTTTAACACTTATGTCTACCAAACGGACAGTTCTCAGTCTGACAATGATTGAGTAGTGACAACTATGCACATGAGCAAGGTAAGGATTGTTGGATCTTGGGCATAACAAATACCTTATTTATTTGTTCCTTGGTCTCTATTTTCCCTTTTTTGGTACAGAAGTATTGTTTTGGGTAGGTAGTCTGTGGGTTTGTGTGTGCTAGAGTAAACTGAGAGAATGTGGGTGTGGGAAGGTTGACAGGTCAAAAAAATGGTGTGAACTTGCAGGTCCCAGAATCTGACAGGGAGCCAGCAGAATTTAGAGGGGAAATAGGGAAGCCGAGGACTGCAAGAGTGAGCCTCCACAGTACACTTTTAAACAAGTGGTTGTGGATAAAGAACTTCGAGTTGGAGGTGCTGATCGCCACATATAGAATAAAAAGAGCAGTAGTTTGTTAGGCCAAGGCTAGACCAATGTGAAGGTAAACATTATGCAGTTGCTTTGCAAATGTTGCCTTTCTAAATTCTTGTTTTCCCCCCAGCGTTGCTGCTGCACCAGTGAGCCAGGTCCTAACTGGACATCCTACCAAAGGCAACTATAGACTCTACTCTACTCTACTCTAGGATGTAATGTAAATCCAAAATACTCCCTGGAAGTTTGAAAACCTCTAATTTCTTGTTCCCCCCCTCCCCCAGCGTTGCTGCTTCACCAGCGGGCGCGGATGGAGAAGTTGAAGAAGGACTGGAACGGGGAGAAGCAGAGACTCGCGCAGGTCAGAGTAGAGGTCGACGAGATGGAACGTGACCTTCAGGACCGCAGAAAACGCAACGCGACCTCCAAATGTCCCACGGTAAGGGATGAAATACAACTGGTGCAATGGCCAAGGGATTGAGTGTTTGCATCAGGAGGTTGAGGTTCAAACCCTAGTTGGAATAAAAATGGCACATCTTATTCCACCACTTCTTTTTGTTTTTTACATACAGAATTAAAGATGAACACAATTGTCATAAACATTTACCTCACAGCCCCTCAAGCTTTCTCCTTCCTCCCCTCCCATTTTCTTTCACCAAATATAGACATAATGGTGACACAGTCCACTTTAGAAAACTCATGTTGCCACAACCAAAACTATTGGTTGATGCCACCAAATGTTTTAACATTTTCTGCTATGTAACGACTAATGTAAAGAGAGGATTGTCATTGAGTTCTGTTGTCTTCTGTCCCTCCACAGGTAGAAGAGATCTTGCGAAAGTGGGATATTATGTGATTTAGATTGTTCTGTTGTCTCCCCCTACAGGTAGAAGAGATAGTGCGTAAGCGGGAACACAACAGGCAGCTGCAGATAGAGATAGACTGTATGACAAAGGAGACTGACCTGCTACAGCAGAGTAGATACTACGGTATGTCACTGCCTTTTTACCTCAGCAGTCTGTGTAGGTTGGGAGTTCAAATCCCAGCTGTCTTCTCTGTTGTAACCAGTGGAAGAATAACTCTTTGGTGAGCTTTGATCGAGACCCCTTTCCCTTTTTACTTCCACCAAAGAAGCAGGGCTGGAGATTCATTTTTGAGAATTGTTGCACTGGTACATTTAACCAAAAGCCTTCGGTGCACAGAAAAAACATGAAATAAAGAATGATGCACAACATGAAATAAATGAACCCAAATTCTGTAGCTAACTTCAATTAATCAGCTGCAAGTATCACAGCAGAGGTTTCTTATTTTTCCTGACACATAAATGTCAGGAATATGCCAAATGCTTTGTACATAACTTCACACAAGTATCATGTAGTAGAGCAAGAATAAATGAACTGGTAAATAATAAAAAGTTGACCTTTGTTTGTTCCAGTATCCGACCCGGTGGACGTGCCGAACTTCTACGCTAACCTGGGCGCCACGGGACAGCTGGGTCCGGTCCCCCCGCCTAGCGCCGCCTCACAGCATAGACGTGAGTACCTCTCATTGGCTGGCTACAGTCATGTGACTCTGATGTCATTTGGTGTCTGCCATAACGTACTGCGACTTCGCGAAATCCCCATTTTTCACGGTTTTCATTGGATTTTTTGGTCAATTTTGGTCATCAGAATTTTGCCTGTTGCAGACGATATCTTCTCCTACACAACATTAGGAAACTACAAACGGAGTGTTAAACCTATATATGCGAATGTGACCTTATATAAGACCTTCTGCCGAAGTGGTCTGCACAATGCATTATGGGTTTTTGCGCAGGTGCAGTACATTGGCAAAACATACTTCACCTGCCCAAAACCCTTAATATATTGTGCACAGCACTTCGGCAGAAGGTCTTATATAAGGTTGTATTCGCGTACATAAGGTTATTTTTGAAAATGTTGTGTTTGAAAAGATGTCGTCTGCAACAGGCAAAATTCTGATGAAAGTTCATGCAACATTAACCAAACATCCAACAAAAAACGTTAAAAATCAGGGTTTCGCGCAGGCACAGTACGTTCTGCCTACGTGCTGCTACATGTTTATTGGTGTGTGAAATTTTCATGCTAGGAGTATAGCAAGGAATGTTTAGATGCCAATGTGTCTCTAGTGGTTGGTGTTCTTCCTGACTAACTGGTGGCTGAAGTGACTTTTCTGCTCTCTCTCAGGAAACCTGTCCAGCTCCACGGCAGCTGAAGGTGGTGTGACAGAAAGGGAGGGGGAGGGGGGTTGGCAGATGGTGAACTATTCAGCAGGTACTATGGCAGCTAGCCCACACAATCATTATCAGGCTGACACTACAGTTAGCCTACACAATCTCACACCGCTGGGCTCCCTGAGAGCTTGTGTACTACAACAGTACTACAACCTCCCACAGTCTCTCATTGTCTCCTCACAGACAGCTTGTAGCCATACACCTCTGACTCCAGAGAACCATTCAGCTCAGGATTTATCATCATGGAAATCATTTCACTAGGCTCAGGTTTCTCTGTCACTTTCGAAACTAGTCATCATTCATTTTTATCATAAACTTTTTAGGAAGGCTATGGCAGAACATACTGTAAACAAGGATCTAAAATAACCTTTTCCAAGCTGACTTTATGATTGGCCTTAAAAGCTACTGTCATAAACCTTTTGTACAATCAGGTTTAAAACAAAAGCAAAACAATTTTTTTTTTCATTTTCAGCAGTATTTGGGAGCTCTAGCAGAGATGACTAATTTTGCATGTAACACCTCCAGGAGTCCACACACACACACACATACACACTCACTTGATCAGTCATCCCAGGCAGCTGCAATGTTTTCTCTATGTGTTTCAACTGTTTTTTTCCTCAGCCTGTCCTTTCCTTAGGGCCAGCTTGCCTGTGCAGTGTGACCGTGTGAAGCTTCTACAGCTTTCCTCTGCCTTTTAACATGCTTGTTGCTTCCTGAATGTGATCATAACATGTACATGCCATGGATAGCTCTCTTCGATACATTGATACTGCTACCTTAGCATGTGATATCATTTCTTATGTAGACCAGACCAAATTAGTCAGTTATTTCTTGAATTCATGCTTTTTTATTGAGATCATGACTGAAGAGGTACTTATCTTGAGATTTTTATGGCCATATCATGAAACCTTGCAGACTTTTTGTGCTTGTGCATGGAGCAATTCTCTTATATGAGCAGGACCAATCCAAGAAGCAACTTACTGAATTTTTGTAGCCATATCATGTAAACCTTACCTTCAGGGTTTGAGAGAAGATTTTTTTTTTTTTGCATACAGCTGACAGCTTCTCTTCTCCCCACAGAAGCGCCCAACCCCAGCGCAGCCCCAGAGGAGGCGGAGGGTCCGCAGTGGAACTGTCGAGCCTGTACCTTCCTCAACCACCCACAGCTAGACAAATGTGAAATCTGCGAGATGCCCAGAGTTATATGAAGATCCTCGCTGTAGCTAAAATAAAATATCCTCATATAAAGACTTGACAAACTCGTGTGCAACAAACGGGGAAGGAGATGAATAAAACCTTCCCACGGCTTTTATGACGAAATGTGGTAACATTTATTATGTATGTCTCTGTCTACACCTGCTACAAGACCCGGCAAGCTGCAGAAGAAAAACAGAACTGTCCCAGCTTCAAGGAATGATTCTTAAGGAGACTGACTGGTTAATGTGAAGCTGTGAGGACAGGCAGAGGAAAGCTGCTCTAGGAAAAGCGACAAAGACACATGTCTTGGTTGTCCGTCGGTGACAAAGACACAGCTTCCACGCAAACAGGTCTATGACACGGTGAGAAGCTGAGACCAAGAGAAACACCGTACACATTCTTTCAAGACTGTCAGTACAAAATCTGAGAACCAAAAAATCAAATTGGTGTGGCCTAAGAGAAGAATTATTTTGTACATGCCATCTGGTTAACGTCAAGCTGTAAGGACAGGTTGGGAAAGGCTGCTCTTGGGAAAGCGACAATGACAAAGCTTCCATGCAAACAGGTCTGTGACACAGTGGGAAGCTGAGACAAGAAGAAACACTGTATAAAGCACACGTTCTTACAAGACTGTTGGTTCAGGAGAGGCTGCAATGGTGGAAAATGCTGCTCTAGTCAAGCCAAGTAAAGAAACACTACGGAAAGCCAAGAACATTGGAAACAACCCATTGCAGCTGGAAAAGGGAATGCCACTCCGTGACTTGTGCTATAGAAAAAGACTTCAATGGTCTGTACAGTGTATGTGTCATGCACAGATGGGCAATGTCTAGTGACAAGGAAATGTGTGGATGTCTTCAGATCACACTGGAGACGGGAAAGAAGTTATCTTGGACTGGATAATCAGCTTCCTGGTTCTTAAACGACGCAGAAGAGTTTTTATACAGCATGTTGCCGTGATGCTATCACAAAGCTGAACTCCAACTTGAATCGTTTTAACAGAAATTTTAGCCACAATGAAACATTGTCTTCTGTGTTGCCAAAAACAGAACAATACAGGCCTATCTCTGAAGAGTTGCTAAGTGCTGATTATAAAGCCTTGACATCGGAATGGTTAGAAATTGATATTTGTCGAACTTCTGAAGTTTATCAAATTGGAAACCAATGGCTTTATACCAAGTATCAGTATGTCTACTGTGAAGACAGGTTACTGAATGTAGTATCTACATGTTTCGGGAACATCACATGGATTTTGTATTATTGAATTGCAGAAGGTTATCTGCTTTCTAAAGTCAGCTCTACAAAACGCTCTGCTCACAAAGTTCAGGCTGCTTCAAACTGATTTTGTGCAGAAATTTTGATGTACAAGTGTATTTTTGTGCCATTGTCACTTCTGTACTCTTGTATTGGCATGTGGCAATGTGCACAGATTTAGCAGTGTCATCAATATACTGTGCACAGTTTTGGGTGTGTCATGGCATACACAGATTTAGGTGTGTCCTCAATATTCTGTGCACAGGTTTTGGTGTGTCATGGCATACACAAATTTTGTTGTTTATCAGTTTGGCAGTGCCAAACTTTGCTGAAGGAGACAAAGATTCAACAAAACACAGTATTTTCCTGTCCTATTTTGTTGCATCATGTGAAACTTGCAATAATTTATTTATGAACTAGCAGGGCCTGTGCCCCCCCCCCTTCAGACATAGCAGAAGAAATAGAAGATGAAAATTGCCACAGAGTTCAGAACAGTCAATGGTCAAAGACAAGTCTGTAAAGAAAAAAAGAAAAGTTGCTCCAATGTCTTTGCTCAGTGCCTGTTTATGAATGCAGCCTCAGAATAATACAAGCAAGCATTTTTGTTTCCAGAAATGTTGCCAGATTGACTTTCTGTTCTTACTTGACAATGACTCTACATCGTACACGTGTTGCTTACAAACATTCTGTTTGCTCTTGCTGGGTCAAAGAAAAAGCAACTTTCTTCTGGACAAAGGTATATTTTCTGGTAGTATAAGATCTTAGCTGTGTATGATATAAATAACAACGCTGCTTAAGTATAACAAAAATTGCTCAAAGTGAATTAAGTCTTGGGAAAGAGTGTAAATCTATGAACCTTCCTGGAGTCCAGGATCCAAGTTTTCCCTTGCTTGTATACATGTAAAGCTTGTACATGTACTTTCAATTTCTATACTAGGAGATAGATGTAAAATACAGACCTTGTTTAGCTCATGTGCGGTGTGGCTTTCATTTTTGTGGTTCATTATTCATACAACATAAGGTTATCAGTATCTCCAAGCAGATTCATTCAGGGGCAGGGGACTGTCAAATTGGCCACTGGAGTTACCATATAGTGTATTTGATACTGCCTGGCCAAGTTGATACTGTCTTTCCAGGGGGATGCAGGTAATCATCATTTAACATATACATCATAGAAACAACATTATCGCTTTATAGGGCAGTGTGATCATAACGAATACCTGATCCACGGATATATTATATATACATGTATCTGGGGAGAGTCTCCAGTCTAGTAAAAAAAAGTGATTCTATCGGTAGAGATCCAGATCAGAGTAGGTCTTTGTCAATAGAAACTCTGATCGGAGTCAGTGCTATCACAATCTGCATTTCATGTTCAGTATCATACACATACAGCATAAAAAGATATTTAGGTTCTATGGCAATCACACACTACTTGCACCAGAAGCTACCAGCGATGTGAATTTTGAATATGTTGGGAAATGTGATGATGCATTCGACTTCAATTGCATGTTTAGACACAACCGATAGTCGGCGCTTTTGCACTGTAATGTCATGTTTACACTTAGAGTAGTATGTGTTGCAATGAGCGACCAGGAACAAAACAAGCTTTTGAAACCACGCCTAGCACGTGACCTTCGAATTCTCGCGTTACTATACCAAGGTGCGCAATGCAAAACAACTGAAGCATTTCTGCTTGTTAACGCTGTGGGCAAGGCGCCTTTGCACACTTTGCAGTGTATGTCTTGGTTTCTTTGTACAAAGTGGCCCTTTTTGCCGCGACAGCAGGATACATCGTTCCTTTGCCATGCGGTAGCTCGACATTGAGTGTACAGGTGTCGTCAAGTCGCGGTCTGGAGAGCCCAGGTACTGTAAACATAGTTGAAGGGTGCAAGTCGACTTTTAACTGACCTGTTTACTTAAATTTGGGACATTATTTCCTCAACTCTTGGGATTTTCTGTCAAACCTGTTTGCAGGGACAATCTAGCAGATAGACATGTTGGGGTATCGGCCTGTGAATCGGCCTGTGAACGCAATTTATTCCAACCTTCCATTTTACTACCTTAACAAGTCATGCATGTAGTGGTTGCCATTGGACAAATAACATCGCAGTATATGGACTAGGTATTAGTTAATGCACCTGTAAGTGACAAATCGAACAAACCAGGCTCTTGCAGTTTGCATGTGTAACTTTACTTATTTATATAACATAATACTGAAATCACAGACCTGTTTTGGTAATTATAACGTTATGGCATTTGTAGTATAAATTCGAGGGGATTCATTCCTCAGCTAACCGACATCTTGCACATCAGTCGTCCCTCAGTAAGACATCTGAAGCCGCATAGTTCCCGTTTAGAAACTTTTATTCAGTCTGCCACACGACCGGTTTCGCGACGTCTTATGTCATTTTGTCCTTTGAGCTATGCTGTGAAGTGAAAACGTAAAGGCGGATGCTGGTGCAACCGTTGATTTTACAAACTTTGTTTTTCCCCAGATGGATAGTAGGTTTGGAGCATGTTGGCGCTGCGGTCGCCCGGGTGGGACGAAGTGCGCCGCCTGCGAGCTGGCGCTGTACTGCAGCTCGGCATGTCAGGAGAGAGACAAGATTCGTCATGAGGTCAGTATTTGTCAGACTAACTACGCTGGCTATATATAGGAGAATATTTGCCAGGGGAGTTTGGCCGCCTTGTAGGTTTGACGGAGGAAAAAAAACTACCTCCCCGCGGCCGTTCTCCCTTGGGCAATTTTACTCTCTTTTTTGCCGAATTCTACGATCCGTATTCCCGTAGAAAGGCCTGATGGAGGCTAAGTATTTGTTTCAAGTTCACCGCATATGATTTATTCCACTTCGTTTAGCTAGCCTTTGATGATTAGTCGTATGTCGCAGACACAGACTCAGTAGCGCTGATTGCCATATTCAGTGTGACTAACAGTTGTTGCTCACTAGTAGCATCAACTGTTTTTAAGACATAATTTCAGTTGATAATGCTGAGCTTTTGCTCCCACAACAGGTGGAGTGCACCAATTGTGCCATAAAGCACACATGTTCAGTTTGCTCAACGGTTGCAGGAGACACCAAGACGTGTGCAAACTGTGAGAGGATCTGGTACTGCAATGCAACCTGTCAGAGAGCTGACTGGAGTCGCCACAAACAATCCTGCAACGAAACTCGAGAGAAAATAGTGAATGTTGCCAGAGTACTTCAAAGAGTATTTGGTCAAGTACAGAACATGAGCAGCTTTCCCTACTATTGGGGGAACTCCCATGCTCAGGACTTAATCAAGATAGACCAGAATGAGGGCGAGTATCCCGACAAAATGGCCATTCTGTTGGCAGGCGTCGGCAACCTTCGAAACGTCATGACCACAGTTGCCGGACTGAAGCCGTCGTTTGAAGGGAGTATCCATTTTGTTCTGAATGATAGTAACTCCCAGGTATTGGCCAGGAACGTGTTGTTCCTGCACATCCTGTGGAAATACCAAGGAGAAGAGAAGGTCGCCAAAAATCTGACACAGATTTGGTACTCAGTAAAGATCACGGAAGAAGAGGCGACGATGGCTCAGGAGTGTCTGGCGGAACTCCTGTCACTGCCCGATGATACAAACACGCTATGTGGAGGTAGAGTGACCATATCAGCAGAGCACTGGGTTAAGATTCGGCCTGTGTTTCATCTGTGGCTATCCCTTCTGACCGGAGAAAGAAACATGCAGAAAAGTCCACAAGAACAGCTTCAACTTACCTACGAGATGGCCAGGGAAGGTGTGCGTCTGTATCTGCGAAACATCCCACGCCGCCATCGGGAATCGGCAGAAAATTGGTTCAAGACCGGGATTCTCCTTTCCAAGTCAGACCCAAGACGCAAACGTGCCTGCCGTGACAATGCCACTCTGGCTGCCTGGAACCCTGCGCACGACGCAGTCTTGAGGACCGATCAAAGATTGCCGGCTGTCGCCCAACACGTTGGAGAGATTGCAGCAGGCATCAACGATGACGCAATGCCCTTCTCTGATTGGGACTATCTTGAAGTAAAAGCGCAAAATCCTGGAAAAGATCTCATGAAGATGTACTCTCACTACATCGATGACGTTGAAAGGAAATTTGCCGGCCTTTTCAACCAAGGCCGCGTGTCCTGCCATGTGATTCTAGATGACTGTCTGAATGTACAGGGGCACCTTCCTGTGGAGGTTCAGTTTGATCGAATCTTTACCAGCAACATCAGCGACTACATCAACTACCCCGTTCTTCTGGAGAAGCTTCGTCCTCTGTTAAGGAAAGACAACCCTAAATCTGTCATCATCACGGAGTTTATCAACTGGTCCATGTATTTTCCCGGAGAAGTGACCCCACCCCAACATGATCCCCCGTTGACCATGCAGTTATTCAGCAGCGCCGTAGAAGACCTCCGGCACGAGCCAGACCGACCAGACTGGGTCAGCGGGCGTGCCGATATGATGACTATCTTGCTCGGCACAGGACTGGCGTCGGCAGCAGACTATTTTGACAACTGGGGCGTGTTCAAGCACTATCTCCGTGCTGCCCTGCTGGCTCACAAGTGTCCCGAGTCCTCCTACACTGTTCTCAGTCCTAAGGACGTGCCCAAGATGTCTGAGGTCCGTAGCGTCAGCGGGATGAAGATGCGAAACTTCTTGAAGGAACTGAACACCGTCTGCCCCTTCCGCAACCGAGTCAACGTGCGTCGAGTCACCAAACTCCATGGACACCGAAGCGTATTGGAGTGGACATTGCCAGAAAGTGTTTGAGATGAGGCAGAGATATCCTTTATGAAATAAGGCTGAGCTAGCTAGTGAACTGATCCTGGCTGTGGGAGCCCAAACAAGGGCATGCTAAACCTGGGCGTCCACGTATGACGTATATAGACCTGCTGGCTGCTGATGTGGGTCTTCCGAAGGAGTACCTGGCGAGTGCCATGACGGACAAAGTGGACTGGCGGGAGAGGGTTTGGGACCGGGAACTCCCGACATGATGATGATGATGATCCTTTATGAAACTGATCTCTGGTTTGGGCCGTCATATTTGTGGTACAATAAGGTTACGAATTTTTGGGTATTCTTAAAACAATCTTGGCCTGCATCACTCCTCGTAGCAGAACCATGGTGACAGATATCTGGTCAAGGCCATTGACGTTATTTGTTTGGAGAAGAAGAAGAGCAAAAAGAAGGTAAATGTAACTGAGATAAGTTCCCCTGATCATTGTACCAATCACTGAATCGGTACAAAAGAATGACATGCGATATAATTACATTTCTATATCTTTATTGAGGATAGAAGCAAGTTCCCAAAAAGCAGCAAGCTGCAGCATGCAAGCAAATATAACTTAAATAGACCATCACCATAAGTTCATTATATTATCATAAGTTCATTACATTATCGTAAGTAATTTCTAGTGTTCATTGTTCCTCTTCATATATATATATAACTGCATTATAATTATATTTCATCTTGAAACCGTTACTTTCCAATATTCTTCACTATACTTGTCATTGTTCTATCATTATGGTGTTAGATTACATAACTATATTTATATCTTACTTCATTATCATATTTCACCTTGGCTTGCATCCCTTACTTTCTGATATACTTCACTATACTTGTCATTATTTTCCTTATGATTTATCATAAATAATTAACCTTACATATTTATTTTAATCAATTAAGGTTATTAATTTTAATATTATTATGAGGCCACAGCAAGTAATTTTTATGGAAGACGTCAGCCTGTGCATTAAGTTTTGCCTGATTTTGGTTTTGTCTTTTACTTTGATGCAGTGATGTACATGTACTCCAATTTCCTTTTATATGTGATGGTGGCTGTGTATATGTGATGGTCCCACTGAATCAAAACCATTTGTACAATGATTGACAACTCTTGTTTTTCAAAGTTGTTTCAGTGGAAATGGATGCTGTTTTGTTATGATAGTTGGCAGTAAACTTAGCACAATACAGGTATCATTCCTTGTTTAACAAGGTTTATGATGTGAAAATTTGAAAATGTAGGAATTTTTTTTGCCCACTTTTTGTTTTGCCACTTCGCATTAGATTTGGAGCCTGCGGAGGATGTTCTCCATAGAATTTACTTGCAATTGCTGTTTAATGCGCAAAATATTATACATTAGCTTAAGCCAAGATACATACATTTGTCTATGTATATTTCTTATATTCTTGCACAATGTCTAACTTAAATGTAGCAATAAAGGTAGGTTATACCGGCTATACAGATACAGATATAGATGAAATTACAGATTCTTGGTAATGTTAGTTTTGAATGACAGTGATAAGGCAAGTGTTGAACAACTGAAGACTGTGCACATCATCTCCCTTCAAGTTTGATTTAGTTAGTGTCCAGGTTACAGTGAATTGCTTTAATGACCATATAAGGCAGTGGTGTATCTTTTGCTAGCACAGTTTTATGTTTTACTATCATCACATGTCCATGTGAAATGTTCACATGCATTACAGCAGCAAGTATGGTATTACAAATGTATATGTGGTCATGATGTGTGAAATTCAAAGGAAAAAGGAAAACCCTATTAGTAAGTGTTTCTTTAGTTTGCCTACTATCTGTTTTAATTTCTTGAGTACAATTGGCAGCAGTAGCAGGTAGCGCAGTTCACAAAGTCAAAGCCATAATTATAGTTATACTTGTGGAGATACATTGAGGGGAATCCTTGAAATTAAGTTGGTCCAGTTGCAAACACAATATCCACAATTCCACAGTACCATAGCCTACTGGAATTAGCAGTGTGTTTGAAAATGCTTGCCTCATAGGAGTTGTATTCTTAGAAATTTGATTCCCTGGAAACGAGAAACCTTTACTTGGGCGAAAATTTGACATTGATCTCCAGTGATTTTCCCGAACCCATTGGCTCACATAATTTACGAGTAGGTCATCACAAAGGGGTAGTCCAGCATTTGAGAGTTCTTTTGGAGTATGTTTTTGTATATTTTCACATCAATTTGTATGAGTGTAGGCTTTAGTCCCCATTGCTTTGGGTAAACAATTTCAATTTGAGCTTTAGCAGTTATCAACCATTGGCACCCATTTGCAGTTTGGCACTACATGTATATGTATGGCCATTCAGTTACAGGCCTATAACTTATAAGGTGTTTCTTTCTTTCTTTCTTGGTCTCTATTGAAGTTTAACAACGTTATGTTTGGTTAATCTTGTTGATTTCATTTTTTGGTTGATTTTGTAACAGACGTTCCTGTTGAACTGAGCTTGCAGATACATTTGTATACCCCCCCCCCAAATTGACATGGTCCGCTTGTGTCTGTTAATCCTTTATGTCGGGTCTGTGGCCATTTATTTATCTGCGACTTACAATGAGGATGGTTGTCGCAACGACAACAGACCCATCACTATAATAGATAATGTCAGTGCCAACAAGAATGCCTATGATTCTGGCTGTGACCGGGTCTGTGACTTCGAACTCACGGGAGATACGGCAAGGGGTGGGCCCGAAGCGCTCTAGGGCGAATCCACCCCCCAGGTCTGTGCGCGGGGGGTAGGGGCAGACGGCGTTCGGTCCGTAGGTGGCTTCATCAAACACCACGTCGTTGCGCGAGTTGGCATAACTCGTTTCCAGGTTTGACAGGTGCCGACTGTAGAACAACCCGAGGTTCTGTTGGAGAACAGGCATGATGGAGCTTGACAGCTCGGCTTCAAATGAAAGAGAAAAAAACACTTCAGGAACACAACCAGGTCAGCAGGCCAGGAGAGTAAAAAAAGATTGTAACAGTTCCAGATTTTCATTGATCATAAAACAGTTGTTTGCAAGTTTGGAATACCAGCACGGTAGATTTGCGTAAATCTGTCAATGTTGTTAAGGGGTTTCCCGATATCGTCACAATTATCATTATTATGTACAATCACCTTTACGATTTATCAAATTGATATCATAACTTCAAGTCATCTACTTATGACCGTCCATAATGCATATATTAGTTTTCCCCAAATTATCTGCCTATGTTGACAGATTTGGGGAGAGCTCATTTTTATGTACATAATTGAATAATATATCATTCCTACAACTTAGTCTATACTACATTCCATTAGGTATTTGCCCTCGACCATCTTTTAAGCAAATATCACCATATACTAGTACATGCTGCACTCTGATATTGCTTGAACAAAATGTTCCATCACTGATGCTGGCAATTAAACACGTAGCCAGGGGAGGGTTCGTGGGGTTCGGAAGGCTCAAAGATCCACTTTTTAATCTTAAAAAAAAGGTCCAAGATTTTTCTTTAAAAGATGGATTTGTATCGATCACCAGTGGGGTGGGATCCTAGGAAAATTGCTCACTATTAAATGTCATTGAATAAAAAGTTATGACTGATATTTCCTTTTATCATCCTCAGACAGTGGGAAGAACCACCCCGCCTCCCATTCAAAATCCTGGCTACGGTACGGACATGAAACATACCTGGTAACCCAACACTCGGGTCAAAGTTGGCGGTTTCTGGTAGGGACAGTCTGGTGATGACGCCCCGGACCTGGCTGTAGGTGAGAGCCCACTGCTCGGGCATGATTTCCATGTTACCGAGATTGGGCAAGTTGGCGAGTGGGGTGCCGTCATAGTCTTGGTACAGACCCAGATCATCCATGAAGGTGTCCAACGAAAGCTCTATGCTCTCGTACATGCTCAGGAGTGAAGAGAAATCGTTGAACGCCTGAACTGCAGCTCCGTAATCAAAGTCTGAAACGTACACAATTAGAGTTCCGACCTCATACCTTTTGCCAGGGAGCCCAAAACTGCGTCACTTCTTCCTGAGCAAAAGAGCTAATAATTACCAATGCAAAATGTGTGACCGTAGCATGTCAGGGGCTAATGACAGGGGCTTAAATTATCATGTCTTTGTTAACACATGTCTTCAAAGCACAACTGTATTTCATTTCTATTTATTCATCTATTTCAATTTAAAAAATGATAAATACATAACAAGGAAAATATGAATGAGGTATAACAATGCAAGAGAAGCCGAAAGCTTATGCTTATGTAAAAGCTGTCCTTACTTAGCATAACAATTTAAATCAAAATCAATTAATCAAAGAAATATGTTGGATAATGCATGTAAATAAATGAAACACTAAATTGAGAACACAGTATAATAGAGAGTTTGCCATCAATTGGTTAATCATGCATGTATATCAGCTACATGCAGAGTTTAACTTCGCGGGAAGTAGTGAACAAGGAAAAGCAAACCAAATTAGAGAAATGTAGGATTATTTATAAACAAGTCAGCTTTGGTGTGATGATCATGGAGAGAGAATGTAGCTTACCGATGGGTTGAGGAGGTGGCGTAAGGCATACTAGGACAAAAAGAGATGATTTTAAAACAATGTGCTTCACCCAGTCATAAAGGTTAATTAATAATGCAACTCTGTAATTGTATGACATAGGTGAGGTGTATTTGTTCTAACCTTACAATGTACTAGTGACAACATGTAAAATACATTTCAAATTGATATTCAAGGTGAATCACCATTAGTAATATAAAATGTAGCCTTTCTTTTTGAGACAAATCGAACAGGTACAGATCGTACGAATACGAACGGACAATACATTATTGCCTCCTCGTCGCTCCTAAAACGCAGACTTACCCGGAGGGGCTTCACAGATGTAACAGTTCAAATCCCTGGAAAGAAAACACATTGTCAAACAGTAGTTTCTTAATATACAAAAGCCTCAATGAGAGAAAGCCCCAAGGAAAGCTCAATGAAGTATGATTAAACACAAAGTAAATTTGTCCCCTACGCAGCATCGCTGTTGAAATCCACATCTAGACTTTCCTGACTGACCCAGTATCTGTAAAAAAAAAAAGAACGAAATTCTCGATAAGCCGTGCACATTTTTGGTTTCCCCAGTATGTTTTCTGTACCATTTACAACAACATGATTTGTTCATCATGTGAAAGTAGACATTAAGAAAATATTATAAATATAACAAGGACATGGCGAAACTCACGGTACAGGTCCGCTACTTCCCTCCATTGCGTCTTCCCTGTCTTCGGCGTTATCGATGGTGACCAGCGAGCCACCTCCTCTGTACATACAGTCGTACTTTGCCTGTTCGAAGCTTCTCTCCACGTTGGAGATGAAGAAACACCTTCCGTCCACCTCGTCATACCCATCCGGGCACGCTGAAACAAACACAATTGTACCACCTTGCTATCAATTTCCAACTATCACTGTGGAACGAGTTGAACCAGGAAAACCCCTGACTCCCGACCAGGGGCGCCGGGGATCGAACCCGCGCCGAACCCAGCTCAGCTTACAAAGCAACGCACGAACCGCTACTGCAAAAGATCGGGACCCAATGGACTTTGTTTGTTAGTGCGCTTGAGCCCCACTGTTACAGTTGTACGGAAGGCTAAAATATGCATTTGGAGCTAGAAATAACACACTTTGACAGTTTAGAAAAAAAACCCCACAAACACCGAGCATAGAGGAATCCACCCCAATGATTAATTGCATACCATCTGGCATAAAAATGAAAACCTCACAGCTTTAGCTAAGAAGATGTGAACAATGTTGGAGATAAAAAGTTAGGAACGAAAAAAACAGGAGAGAAAACAAAATCCCCCGACCCCATGTTATCATAAATACAGTACATGTATATGCTAATGTATGTATAGGAATCAGACCTTGTTGGACTGTCAGTGCTGGTATTGCCAAAAGCACCAGGCAGAAGAGAAATTGCCTCTCCATCTGGAATATCAGCATAGAGACCAGTCATATCACAATATTATCTCTCATAAGGCCACACCAATTTAATTTGTTGGTTCTCGGATTTGCCTCTTCGTTTTTTTCTGATTTGCAAAAAAAAAATTGATTCTGGTCCTGAATCAACTGAAAAATGCTCATGTTTTGCCCCCAACAGTTGAGGAAAGTCCTTTTCTTCCTAGTTGTTACAGTTTTCCCATCTATCATTGCAGTGGTTTGGTTAAAAGTTCAAAATTCAATGTTTAAATTTTAACCCAGCCTTTTGTGTTGACTTCATGGCTCATTCCGTAGCATTTAAGGCTATAATAGGATGCCTAGACCTGTTTTTATTTTTATTTCGCCCTGTCGCTTCATATTTTTTCTGAAAAAATCCGAGAACCAACAAATTAAATTGGTGTGGCCTAAGTTAAGAATAAACACCATGCGCCTGTTATTTGCCTTTTATTTCATACCAAAAAAAAATACCATGCGGTACTAAAAGGGAGATAAGATCAATGTTATGGCCTGAGAGTCTGTGGAAATCTTGGGGGTGCGTTTGCTGGCATTGCCGCCAAGATCCGGTAGAAGCATCCTGTTTACAGGTCACAAGATGTCAGGGACAGTGTAAATATCCATAAAAAATATACATATTCATTACTCTCCAAGCAGAGGTTGTGGTGGAAATGATCGATACATTTTTATATATGGCCATTTTTTTTGTCCTGACCCCCACCGTCGGTGGCCGCGGACCTTCTCTGGCTAATGGATACTGTCTGGCCAATTTGATACTGTCTTTTTGCCACCGAGAGGGATCTGCTTGGAGATTACATATTCATAGAATTAAGCATTCATTTTGCAATATCGATCCACAAGGGGAGTGGCTTGATGGCTCGAATTACACTCGGGTCTGATCATGATATAAACATTTTCTCTGCTGCATGGGATTCAAAAGCAACTTTATCCATGGTAGACCCGATCCGCCGATCGGTAGACGTTTATATGTCAATGGTTATTTTTTAAATATAACTTACACAAAATTTCACACAACAATTCTGACACACAAAATCCCCACTCTCGGTTTTACTCGGCCTGTTTTTTTCCTCTAAAGAGACCAAAGTTGGCAGAGCAGCATGCGCAGATCTTGTGTGAATGCCCACGGTGGTCTAGCGCGCGACCATGTTTTCTTCTTTAGAGACTAGAGTTGACTGGGCGGTAGATCTTGGAGACCCTAGAAACTCAACCTTTTATGTGTGAGGAGAGGGCTGAGATAAGTTTTATAACTTTTTGCCTCATCCTCGGAAAATAAATGTGAATAAAATAAAATAAACTCAACCACGGTAGTCTATATAAACACGCCCTCGGTTTTATTTGGCCTGCCTTTTCGAAGGAGACTAAAGTTGACGGGGCCGCAGATCTTGGAAGACGGAGACCCAAGAAACTGAATGAAGGCCCACAGTAAATTTGCGCGCGCCTGGCTGGTGTTATGGTTTTGGGGCCTATTTTCTTCCAGGGAGTCTGACGTAGCCTCTACCAGGCTCCGCGGATCGCTGGAAAAATAGTAGAAACTGGCCGAAATAAAGGCATAGTATACCAGAGAAGATCCAGGGCCATAGAAGCTCCAATTTGCGACCCACTCTACCAGGCACCGCGGATCGCTGGAAAAATAGTAGACTGACTGGCCGAAATAAAGGCATAGTATACCAGACAAGATCCCGGGCCATAGAAGCTCCAATTTGCGACCCAACTTGGAGCCAATTTCTACTATTTTTCCAGCGATCCGCGGTGCCTGGTAGAGGCTAAGTCTGACGTTGAGTGGGCGACATGAGAGACCCAAGGAACTGGGGGAAGCCCGCGGTAGTCGAGCGCGCGCTCAGGTTTTACTCGGCCTGTCTTTTTCAATGGAGACTTGACTGAGCGGCAGGTCTTGGCATGGGAGAGCCAAGAAACTGAATGAAGTCTCATGGTAGTTTTGTTCTCGCCTAGGTTCAATTGGGCCCATTTTCTTTCAGGGAGTCTAGTCGAGTTCACTGGTCGGTGGATCAAGACAAGAACGAGAAAACGGGTGAAGACTCACGGTAGTCTAGCGCACGCCGTTGTTTTATTTGGCCTTCTTCTTTAGAGACTGAAGTTGCTTGGGTGGCAGATCTTGGGAGACCCTAAAAATCTGGTGAAGGCACAACCTAGCCCAGCGCGCCCTCAGTTTTTGCTGGACGTTTTCTTTTCTGTTTTCTGGCCCAGGTTTTCTGGATCTGTCTCCCTCCAGGGAGACTGAAGTTGACTGGGAGAAACTGGGGGACGACCGCGGTAGTCAAGCGCGCACCCAGGTTTAAGTCGGCCTGTATTTTACAATGGAGACTCAAGTTGACTGAGCGGCAGGTCTTGGCGCATGGGAGAGCCAAAAAACAGAATGAAGACACACGATCACTCTTGCCCACGGTAGTCTTGCGTGCGCCTAGGTTTTAGTTGGCCTATTAACTTCAAGGGAGCCTAGAGTTCATTGGGCGGCAGATCTTGGGAGATTTGTTAAACTGAGTGAAGGCCCAAGGCGTGCGCCTAGGTACGGGGCCCGTCTTTTTTCCGGGGACTGGGCGGCAGATTTTGGGCGATATGAGAAACTAAATGAAGGCCCATGAACTTTGTGATAAAAGTTTGCAAGGCTAGATGATAGGTGAACCTTTCCATGCAGATCGACAATGACTACTCGCACTTTGTAAAATTTAAGCACCAAGTCAAAGAAGCAAAGAAACTTAACACCAAGTTAAGCACATGCACAACTATCAACATGAGAAAGAAATTACAACTCACCATGGATATCCCTTCGCTGTACGTTGTTGGACTGACTGTGAAAAAATTTAACTTTAGTATGACACAATTCGTGCCGTCAAATGTTAGTTTAACCGGGACTGAGGAGTCGGTGGATACAATTGGGGACGGTTGACCAGTTGTCTGGGCTGTGTCAGTTGTCCTCCGGTCTCAGGTCTGTTCTGGGCAAATCTCACTTTCTACCAGGACTTTATCCAAAGCGGGGGAGAGGTGTGTGTGGGTGGAGGTAGCCAATAGGGTCCCAGCTCTCGTTTACCGCCGTGTCCAAAATTGGAGGTATCCATGGCAACTGCTGACGTCTCCTCTAGGAGGTACGGACGGCTCTGGTGCCACGTGGACATGAGTGCAATAACCTCAGATGAATGACGTTCTACCACATGCTTACTCAGATCTAAGTGAAAGGTTATATCACTGACGGAATCAGCCACGTACCTAGGTGTTATCAAAGTTCAGTCATGTGTTTAGCACTAAGTTCTTCGCATGCAATCTCCAAGCAGATCCTACGGTGGCAAGAAAGTATCCATTGGCCACGGGTAGTCTCCACCAGACTTCTTTTGCGGGGTGAATAAATCGTAGAAATCGGCCTAAAAAGGGTATTAATTGGCCAGAGAAGGTAGCCGGCCAGAGAAGCTCCATTGCCCAATTAATACCCTTTAGGCCGATTTCTACGAGTTATTCACCCCGCAAAAGAAGTCTGGTGGAGACTAGGCCACGGGAGTAACAATTAGCCCCGTAATATAAATGTCTAGTGTTGTACAATTACCTCGTATTGCCCAGTTATATAAAGCTTCTATAGCTAGGGTCATTAACACGAGTACAGGACATGGACCTCGGGGTCCATAAAATTGTTTTCGTCTCTAATTGACGGATGTGCTGTTTTCTTTGTACCGAGAATAGCGACCCAAAACACGACTCTGTTGTTTTAGGCAGGGTTCTGTTATTGAAGAGGCAGAAAATATCAATATTACTAACGTGGCTGCCATCCGACAGGTCATATTATTGCCCTAGATCGATATTTGGCGGTACGCGCGTGAACACACTCGCGCCCACGCACCAACTTTCCTACTCCGTGCTGGATACTAGCTAGTATGTGATCATATTCACTCTGCAGGTAAAATCCTAGGGACTGAACGCAAATTTATTGTATACTGTTGGCTATTCGAACTTAAAATTCGGGTGCATTCAAAATAAGGCCCATTTTGGTTCTCTTTGAATGAAACTAAAAGGATGCGAACACGGTTGGAATGTTGTAGGAATATTCAGAATGAAATCATATTGCAGTTAGAAGACACTGAATGCCGTTCTCTTTCTTATTATCTTGAGTAAACAACTCAATACGGAAACTTGCTTGCAACAATGAAAATGCAAAGCTGTATACTTATCTAAATTTTAATTTGCATACACATTCAACCACAAGTGTTGACCAAACCTATTTTCCTATTGAAATTGAGTAATGGAAACAGTGTATAACTACCTGAGGGAATATTTTTCATGTATCAATGGATAAAAATTGCGCATAAGTTCCCAGATGTCTTGCTGAAGGCTTGCATCTACAGCACGCATTAAGTTACCATATACTCTTGTTGGCAAATGGGTTTCTTGTCCAGACTACACGTATCATGCATCCTACAGCTGCACAAATGAAAACAACTGTCAACGAACTTGTAGCCTTTCAGAGACTGAAAGGTAACAAGCACAGACAGATGTAGTACAGAGATAAGTCTTCTTCACTACGTTTTGTCTACTTAGTATGATCTTTGTTTTATTTTATTCACATTTATTTTTCGAGGATTGGGCAAAAAGTTATTAAACTTATCTCAGCCCTCTCCTCACACATAAAAGGAAACAATAAAACAAAATTAATAATAATAACAAATGACAAGGGTACATAATGAGCTGGTGTACAAATCAAAATCAGTCAACTAAATCAAACAAAACGTCCTGTCTCCAAAATAAAGTTGAAAACCACATCAAATATTTTACAGTTGTTGACAAACGACAGTGAGGTGTTACCCCTGAGAATGGTTGAACATAAAGTGTTGTCGGTGACGTTGTTTGTGTCAAATGGCAGGATGTTAGTTAGAGATAATAACATGTCAATACGTTCATCAGTGTACAGTGGGCAGTGTAGGAAGTAGTGTAGCAAGTAAGCAAGTGTAGCAAGTAAGCAAGTGTACAGCTGTTTCATTGGAGTGACCACATTGTAAGATCTTTCTACAAACATGTACGCAGCAATAGTCTACAGGCTTGCGTTCTCAAAGTCTATGTGAATCCATGGCTCTACTGTTAATGGACCTTCTTCATTCATCAGTGGTAACTTTGCATCCTGTGCTGGAGGAAAGCCCCAGCCACAGGTTGGCTTGAAGGTACACATTAGAACTTGAAGAAGTAGATGATGTGCATGTAGATTGGGTGTTAATTCGTGTAGGTTTTTTTTTTACGACGATTTACCACATTTGTGGAAGGATTGACTTAACAGGTGACTATCACCTTTTCAAAGATGTCAAACCTGAAACCAGACTGTAATGTTCGAACCACTCACACCGGGAACGTCCCCTTCTCTTTTCGATAAGTCCAGTGATGTACCACTACACCACTCGACGCCACGCTAACAGATGTAACAGTAGGATGGTATGTGGTGGTGGGGTATTACAACTAAGAATGACTTGGACAGTTTCCAGGGAAATATAAGCACTACATGTAGTACATGATGCAGAGGTACAGGGGTCCGGTTTGTATCTGAGTTTGTATCAGATACATGTACTTAGTATTTGGTACGTCAAGCAGTTTTATTAGCTTCTGGTGACAGACGTCTTGCTGCGTCAAACTGTGCTGCTCAGGCCAGCAGGATCGCTTCAACTCAGGGTCGGACAGCTGCCAGTTGAAGTTCTTCATCCTGTGGAAAATACAGATGAACATGTAAAGTGTTAATTCTTCTTTATTCTTCTTATCCGAGTTTTACGTCTATTGATTCCCCGAATCGGGGGTATAGACGTGCTTGCACAGGTGCATGTTTGGGCTTGTCATTTTGCCCCTCAGCATGCTGAGGTGCACAACAGCAAGCCTGTGCAAGTCTTTTTTTGAAGCAAGGTTTTTACTGACTGGATGCTCTTCCTATCGTCAAACTCTAAAGTTTTTGACAGCTTTCAGAGACTGGCTGTATGAGGAGTTAAGTGCCTTTCCCAAGGGCACAACATCGGGGTATGTGGTAGGTGGATTTGAACCCAGGGTCCCTGGGTCCCGGGCCGAAAGCCCTACCACTATACCACACGACGCCACTAATAAAGTAATTTAATAAAGTCATTTTCTCTCAACACTTCAGTGCATGTACCTGAACAGCCCTGAATGAGATCTTATGCAGCTTACTGGTTGATGTAAAATTAAGAGCTGATGTATATTCGAACAAAGCCAAAATACAGTCTGCTTGTACTTTTAACTTAATCACCACTGTACCAAGCTTTTCCCTGTAGAACCAGCTACATATACTTTTTTAACAGAGCTGTAATATGATAGTGTGTTCTCAGACAAAAAGCAGCCAGGAAGGTGGAATCATGACAGGTGTCAATCATCCGGTAATTCCACAATCATCACAGAACAACACTTCTAAACAGTATCATGTCAATTGTCATCAAACCTTGAAATATAAATGATAACAAGTATTCTAATGAATTTAGCATTTTACAAGGACTATCTTACCATGTGTGGTTTTCAGCTATCTGTCCTTCATATTGCATACAGAATATGCTCCATCAGTGGTGCCTGAATGTGGGAAAGGCAGGTTAGCAACTGGCTTATAACAGAAGACACAGATCAACAGTTAACACAATGTCAACAGTGTTCTCAGACAAAAAGCAGCCAGGAAGGTGGAATCATGACAGGTGTCAATCATCCGGTAATTCCACAATCATCACAGAACACTTCTATACAGTATCATGTCACCAAACCTTTAGGTATATCACATATTGTTAGGAATCAGTTGATGTGGACTTTATATAAAACTTACCATAATGTTGTGATGATATGGTCTTCAGCTGTGTGTCCTTCATACTGCATACAGAAGGCACATTGTCCGTGGTATCTGAAGATGGAAAAGGCAGGTTAGCAACTGGTTTACAACAGAAGACACAGATCAATAGTTAACACAATGTCAGCAGTGTTCTCAGACTAAAAAGCAGCCAGGAAGGTGGAATCATGCTTGAGCATGAGCACAAGTCATTCGGTAATTCCACAATCATCACAGAACACCACTGATACATCTAAATAAATAATTTAAAAAAAAAAGCAAAAACTGTACCCTATCCTGAATTCCTGAACAAAGCATTAGAAGAGATAGGGTTTGTAAGGAATGCATCACATTTAGGATGTCTTCTCAACTTGCTCTGCACAATGTAAAAACTTCACTTTAGTTTTCCTGCTCAGAGTTCCTTACCAGGCAATGCTCTTCACTGGTCACCTTTGCTGATGTCTGAGGAGAAAAGAAAGAATAACAGATGTCAGAGTGAAGTTCAGAGGATTCTAACTGTATGTATACAGCAAACAAACATTAGAAAACAGTTGTCTGTTCTCAGGTTCTTCTTCATCAAACATAATCACAGTGTGTCAATCAGATGGCACTCTCAGGTCTCATCACTGAACAGTTAGCATCTGAACAATTTTGTTATTCCTTTTCAGACAAAGCATCTCCCTACGTGGTTTTCAAGCAATTCTCACCATAATCATTTAAAATTTTATCTTGAAAGTTCATCTGTATTGGTAGTCATTATGAAACAAATTTGAACCTTCAACAAGTTTGAACAGCTTTCTGCAACCTATGATCCACTACTCACGGAGTCACGTGTGTTATCTGCATGACGTCACGGAAGCGGTGGATTGCTCATTCCTTGACAAAGACTGGAGTTGTACAGTCGAAAATTTGGGTGAGTCCAATTTCTTGTTTTGGATATTGCTGTTCAAACTTCTTTCATAATCTCCCTACATGGTAACTAATATTGCAGCTGTTAGATAAGGTAGTTTGAAAAGTCAGGGCAGATTTTCTAAACTACATGTAGACAAGGTTAGCAAATAGTGTTAATCAGAAAAGAGACTTACAATGACATGCATGTGGTGTACACTACCATCCAGGCATGCAGCATGAAAAACATTCCAACATGAACTTCAGTTACCTCAATATTGACTCAAAATATCCGGGAAGAATTTCTTTTGTTCATTCCTCAGATAGGACTGTTACAAATCACCCAGGTCATGTGACCTATCATACAGGGGCATTCGTATAAAAACGAATCATCACAGAAATCAGAGTTGATCATGTTTGGCCCCTCCAGGTCATTTCCTTGATTGTTGCACAATTCAAAAGTCACAAACGAAACAAAAAAGTGACTATGAATGCATCGAGACATCCATAGGTAAACTGTTACTCAAGCAACTGGATAGATTTTGAAAACTGTAAGATGTTTAAAGTAGCAACTACTACTTTTTGTCAGTGACTAACAGAACTTGTAGTTGGACAGGTACATTGTATTCATCCAAAAACTGAGAATCAACATGTAAATGAGGTGTGGACAAATCGTTGCTAAAAGCACTTAATTTCACAGTTAAGAGATTTCTGATCAAATTGAAAAGTATGAAAACAACAGTATGGTAAATATAAATGATTTATTTGAGCTGATCTATCCCATTGTTATGCAGGAAGGAAGCAAAACATGCATAGATGGTTCACTGAATATGTGACGCCATCAAACCATGGTTAATTTTGTGTGAGTAGCACAAGATGCAAGTATCATGAGCGAAGTCAGAGGACAAGCAAGGAAATCAACTGGTGTTGCCTGTGTTTAGTAACATGTTAGTTAAAACAGAACACATACACAGCACGCCAGATCAGACCAGCTCATACACATGCAGGTAGGGTTAGCCACTCTCTGGTTCTGACTTTGGACACTCTCTTGACTGGAGAATCCTGGTGATAGATGTAGTTATGGCTGTCATCTTCACATCTGTTGAGACGGACTGTCTGCAACTGAGATCCTCTAGGGTTCAGGCACTCTGCAGTAGAACAAAAAGACATGCACAATGAAGCCTACAGAAATCCACAGAAAATTCATGATACCAGGCAACAATGTGTAGAAAGGAAGCACGTTGGCAGAACTTACTGCACCTGCACGAAACCTTTAATGTATTGTGCAAGCCACGTCTCAAATAAGGATGTATCCGTGTATATAAGGTTTACATCCTGTTTGTAGTTTGATTTCCAAATGTTGTGTCAGAAAAGGTATCCTGTGCAACAGGCAACATCCTAATGCAACCAAAATTGGGAAAAATCAGTGTTTCGCGCCGGTGCAGTACGTTCTGCCGACGTGCTTAGTCAGGATTGCTCAGTCCGCCTTAGTCACATGTTTAGGTTTGTACACCTGCCTTTGAACCAGGATTCACAACCAAAATGAACATCATCACCGCAATCCAGTCAATTTTACCATTTCAAACTCTGTTCTATTTCAACCATGACTTGAGAAGGTACAGTTATGTGGAAACATTAACTCAAAAACACATTTAACGCAAAACACCATAAAAACTGGCACAACAAACTTGATGTTCACCTTTCAATGGCATTTGTGTCAGTGCAGTTACACAGCCTAGCAACAGGATTGTACTGAGATGGTCACAGTATTCAGCTGGTCTCTGTTGCACAGCAAGGCAAGTGGTCAAGCTGAAATGGAGGTAAAACAGTGTTCAGAATAAAGCTTGCACAAATTCAGAGGTGAAACAACAGTGTGGTAAGGATTGCTCAGTCCGCCTTAGTCACAGTTTCGGTTTGTACACCTGCCTTTGAACCAGGATTCACAACCAAAAGAAACATCATCACAGCAATCCAACATTACCAAGTAGTGTGCATTTGCCTATTATCTCATAAATCTGACTCTCTTTTACTTCAACTGGTGCCAATTTATGACAAATGAGAACTAATAAAACCTGATGATCATCAAATCTTGAACACAGAAATAAACAGCTTACCTCTGAAGAGTACCACTGTGCAATTTTGATGCAGGTTGACAACGCTGCGACTGGAATGGCCGAAAGCTCAGCTCACTTCACTATCACACAACATGGCCTGTGACTAGCCTGAAAACAACATGCAACATTCATACAAGGGTCAGCATTGCTTCAATAAAACTTAAGTCTAGTTTAAAGACTACTTTTCAATTGATCTTAAAATGTAATGGAGATGGCTGTTTTGTTTTAGCTATGTTTGTAAGGTTTACAAGAGGTGCTCAGAGAAGAATGTTTGACTCAGTGTGCACCACCAGGGGCACACTCATAGCAGTTGAACATTTCAACATCACAGCAACCCACTCTTTCTAATGTCTAACAATGCAAACTTAACAATAGATACGTGATAGCCCGATCTTTCATGGAAGATGAAATTCAACTTTACCATACTGCTTTCAATGAAAAATCGTTTTTTGTTTACATCATGTACATGCAAATTATTTGGACACATACTAGTACGCAAATTATCGGTAGGCAAATCGATCAAATGTCATCCACTTTTTGCCTACTTGCCTACTACCACTTGCTGACTATACTGTCGTGGTGATTGTTCATACTCACTCACCACAGACCATACATGTATACTTTTCCCATTAAAACTGTTGTGAGGGTGTGCGATTTCGAATCTTAGACTAAAAAACACATTACCTACCTGTTGGTACAGTTCGGTTGCCATAGTTACTGATGGTTTCCAAGGCAATGCTGCATGTTCCCGCTGCAGAGTAAGAAAACAGTACATCAAGTCAGTAATGCCCCCAAACCCATCATAGTTCTACAGCTACATTGTATGTCGGACGTAAGGTGGTCAAACATAAACTTCAAGGTTTACTTTATGTCCTGTGAAGATACTGAACTTAAAACCTTTGTTAGCTATGCCAAATAGTCATTCATGGTAAGGAAAACTACACGCTATGATGTTACTCAGCCTGATTACAATTGAGACATGGAGATCACAATTGTATGTCACACTCTTACCATAACTGGATAAATGTATGCTGCATACTGTTATTGGTGATGTTCCTGGTATACACTGAATATAGCAATATCATTATAATTATATCATTATCAATATCATTATTATAGCAATAATGAAATTCAACTGTTTTCTTTTCTCTCCTTACCGACTACATGTATTCCATACAAAATGTCTAACAACATCAGATATGTTGCATATAACATCTTCCCTTTCAGATTTCTTCCTGCCCCCTCTGAAACTTTCAACTCCGATTCATCCTTACGATATTTATGCTTCAAAATTGGCCAGTTTCCCCCTCTAAACCCCATGCAGCTTGGGCACTTGACGCAGGTCTTACCATAAGGAGATTGCACAGCTTTTCTTTAATGGAAATTTTCCTTCCTTTATGACATACCAGAGTGATAGAGGTACGGATCACGCAATGACATAGTACAATAAACACAACACAGCTAAGTTATCGTGTATGTTGTAACTACAAGTTAACAGATCATATTCTGATAACCTAAATCATTGTGTTGTGTTGATGGAACCTTTGGTGTTGTAACAAGGCTTGGGACTGGTTGCCTGGTGCTTTTATTAAGATGACCATATTCCAAGTAGAAATTGTTATTACTTGTGCTGTAGAGACTTCATTCAGGCTGCATAGATGTGAAAAAGGAACCTTAGCAAATAGCTACGCAAATCGGCACAAATACACACTGTATTCTATCACTGTGATGTTTGATGAAAGACGGCACTGAAGGCTGTAGCTAGTTTTATATGTATGAAGCTCTTAGAAGGTTACATTTCCATTTGGTACATGTACTTGCAGAAAAAATAACATGTACCTGGGTCCTTTTATTACTTGAACTTAAGCATGAAAATGATACTGGAGAAAAGATACAGTTAGGGTAGGATGCTGCACGTGTACTGACAATGTCACGAAAATCTCACCTGTACCCAAGGCCCACACAAAAGGGCAGTCCTTCGACTAGAATTTTCATTATGGTGAAACATGTCCTTAAAACAGAATCTAAGAGTTGGTTTAGGAAAAGCACTGTTCGGATACATCACTGAGCTATAGAGAAGCAGGAAGTAGACTTGGAGAGTGTTTGATACACTGAAACTTTTTATGGGTACATATTCTCATATGATATATTATGAAAAGTGTCAAGTAGCTTCCCCTTTACCAAATCCTTTTAAGTGCCATCATTGATGAGATACTTATACACTGATGATAGCAAGGTGAACAAGATCAAGGAGGTTCATATCTATTAACTGCTAGAAGCTTGATGAGATCATTTTCCCTGCATATTGTATGAGGCAAAACAATGGTGCTTGATTAGCAGCTTTAATGTATAAAATTGTAACTTTAAATGAAGTGCAGAAATCCTGCATGACATCAGACTAAAAAAATTGTCCAAAAGCAATGCTTCAAGAACAGCTTTTTTCATCACTTTACGGGTACAATTTTGAGCATTTACTGGGTATCACATCAAAGAAACCAAGGGCCTGATGGCCTGAAGGTGGCATAATTACCAACCCATGATCAGACTCATGTCTTAGTTGAAAGAAAAACTTGAGTCAAGACACGTGTAGCCTGTTACCATCATTATGTACAGAAGTACATCCTTATGTATAGAAGTATGTTTATGTCAATTAGGTCACTTGTACACATAGTAGGTGACAAGTATAAGCTTCAACAGAATTGTTGCATATACACTGTACAAAATAACAGAGGGAATCACACAGGAGTCACAGAGACTTGATCTAGATGTATTGTTTAAGGCGTTTTCTCACTACCATCAAGTGTGGTAACGATAGCTACCATTTTTGTGCTTGTCATAGTTTTGCACAGTAAGCACCAAGCAAGCAGTCCCAGCTGTGAAGAAAGATGTTTTAAACACAATCATACAGTGTGTGCCATTTAAAATTCCATCTTGTTCTGTAGTACTGGTAACACCAAAGGTCCCATCATAGTTTGTAAATCATGTATAGAATATAGGATATCATATCAAATTGTATCAGAATGTTTATAACACTTTGCTACACTATTTTACCTCAAAATGACACCTTATGCTTCAAGTAATGTAGTGACAAGTTTTCCTAACTAAATTTCTCCTTAGTAAAAGTCATCCCACAACAAGCAATCTGGCACAAAAAGTATATGTATTACAGGCCTACGCTTAGTACCATACATACCTTCCAAGGGAGTCCTGTACCTGTAAATTGCAGTTCCTTGAAAAGCCTTTGGTCAGGAAGTTCTTTATGCACATCTCTGCAAGCTGCTCTGTATTGTCAGTGTCAATGTAACATGGTGCAGCTCAACAAGTACACAACACTCATGTCAATCTCATGTTTCGATTATTTGTCAAAGCCGTAAGCAAAGACCAGAAGCTTACATAGTTACAGATTGGTGTAAAACTTAGGTAAGCACAATTGCTGGACCAATATAAGCAGTTCTTCTATTCAGTATTTGGAAGATCACAGCTATCTTTCTTGATCTTTAAAAAAGTTAAATGAAGTCCTTAGATATGGAAGGACAATAGCAATGGACAATATGTCTACGTACCCTTACTAGTTGACACACTAGTCTACTCTGTTCCTATATCTACCCATTTCCATAGATCCAAGGGTTGAGATATCTTCTGTCATAGGACAGAAATGGCTATAATTGATGTTGTAAGTTGAAACAATGTAACCTCAAAATAACCCTTCAGTGAAGGGGTTCAAACTTTGCTGAATTTTTAAAGACGTTTGACAATAAACAGTTCAATTCATCATTCTAAGTAATCATCAATGGTAATGATTGGTCTACACTGTACTGTACATCAAAAGATTCACAGAACTAAGTAAAGAGACTTACCTCCTGGTATGAAACCTATGCCACCTCAGTTTGAAGAATGTATGAAGAATAAGGCTCATGTTGAACTTCAGTTTAAGTTTCAACATGGTCATACATATACAGGTTCATGTGTATGACCACATCCTTATGGTAACCAGTTGTTCAAACAAATGCCAGCTACATCAGAGGCAAGCCTTTTGCAGACAGATGACTATGGAGTGGACGTTTCTACAGATACAAGAGTCTGCTGTAACTGATCCTTCCTTAAGTTCTGGAGTCTCCCAGGGAATCTTGAAACAAGAGCAATGCCCACTTCTGCTACTTTGGGACTTTGCAATATGTCACTTTTGTATTTGACTTTTCTTGCACTCCTTCGTTACCTCATTGCATTTTTCATACTTGTGTTTGTACAGGTATTAAGTGAATGTGCAGTGTGTTTTTCTCATGTAAAACTCCAGTAGGTCTATTGTATATACAACTGTACTTGAAATAGACCATTTTCGATCATTATACAAGGAAGTAAACCTATAGCTTTCTCTGCATCTTGTTTTGTTTTTACCATGTATTCCATCAACAGGGGTTTTTCTGAACAGGGGAACAAGGGCGCTGCGCCCTCATGTAACAAACCAGCGCCCTCATATCAATTTTCAGATTGAAGCCTAAGTCTTTTTCAAAATCATCTTTTTCCAGTAAAAATACAAAAACAACACCACATAACAATACATTCTGGCATTACAAACTATGTTACTCTCATAAAAATTCCAAAATCTTACCACAAACTTGAAAATTTAGCTCTAGTAGTAAAAGTTTGAATGGAATAAACAATGTTCATTGAGAACTTGCTCAAAAACATGTAGCTAGACCTCCTTCATTTGCATACTATAGAACAGGCTCTGAAGTGAAACATGAGACCTGAGTTTGTAGCAGCTTGGATGAATGTGTTGCAATTGTGCCATGGGAAAGGTTTCAGCTTGTGGCAAACCCAATGTTGTCATCTGGAGCTACTAGTAACATTGATCACTAATTGTGTAAGTGTATAAAGGGTGATTTGCAGATTGTGTGTACTGTTGATTGTACTTATATTTTATAAGTGAAATATGCAATGCATGAATAGAAATTTGGGAAAGGTATATTGAGGTTAAGAGTTCAAATTTCCCCCCTCAAGTAGCCTCAAAATGTCCCATTTCAACTTCAAATTTTCAAAGGCTTCAAATGGCGAAGGGGGATACCCCCTTCCGCACCAACCCCCCTCGGTCGCTTCGCTCCCTCGCCGTGATACTGCTCCCTCATGCCAAATTTTCTAGAAAAACCCCTGCCATCAAGGGTAATAAATATGATATCCTTGATTGGCTGCTGAGGAAATGTGTAGCACTAATACGTTGATTTAAATTGTACCGGTATCTACAGGTGTCATAGAGTATCATTATATATAACACATTATTAGCTGCCAGTGTGGTAAAGGAAACATGTAAAGATAGTTTTTTGCTACATGCTCATCTGATGATGAATTTCTGACCGCTTGTCGATCTGTTCATGACCAACTCAAAGAAAAAACACTGAAGCCCTCCACAAGTTGACTTGTTGATAAGGTATGTTAATGTTCTTGCTTAAGTTAAGGTCCTGTATGTTCATGTTTATACGCCTCAACGAGTTGTAAAAAAAAATCACAAAAAAAAAAGGTGTTCTGCAAAGTTTCCATAGTCAGTACAGTACTTGATGGTTGTCCAGTAACCCCCATGTTACATTTCCTAATAAAAACGGTGCATGAAACAACATCTGCAGCAAATACAGATGGACAAGCATGTCTAAGTTTCAGCTTTGTGAAGGGTATCTTCTCGGTTCCCTCCAATCATAATATTGCGCTTGCAACTGTTGCTGTACCATTGACATTGAATGTAGCTTTCTAAAAGCAAAGAGTAGTCAAACACATGAATATCCTACTCTGAATATTGTCAAGTTTATGTCATGAGTAAAATGTTACTACGTCCCTTTGTATTGTATTGTATTGTATTGAGTAATTCTTAGTACCACTTATGGGCAAAAATGATCTGGATGCTGAGTTAGACATTCAAGAATTTCAAGAATGGATACGTCATAAAAAGATGGAGATGCTGCAATAAAGAATCAAAGAACTGTCTTGTCTTTATGTTCTCTCTGTGCACATTTATGACATGTCAAAAGGCTGACTGTTCAGAAGTGTGTCTACAAGGTTCCTGAGATCAAGTTAAGTATGATACTACATTGACCTACTGCACTGCACAGGTAGAAGATCAGTATTGAAGATGTATTTACAAACACCACACAAGGATATCGAGTGACTAAAGAGCAAAGTCTTCAAGTAGGAGGTATGAACCTTTATAACTCTAAACCCTCGCTGCAAAAACAGCAACATAATTCTGCTCCAAAAAAATGAAGTATTCCTGTCCAAAATTGCACTGTAAAAAACTGAGCATGGCATGAGTATGGTTAACCACAAAAGGTTTATCATATGGTCTTGAACAGAGAAAAGCAGTTCATAGAGTTTCCTTGACCAGACTGCAGCAGTGTAAGATCATGTCATCACTATGAGTATTTTAGACCGTCACAAAGACAGCATTTATTTTTACGCCATTTTGATCTCTGATTCAGAAGCATCATTAGGAATTTAGGAGTGATAGGGTCTGTGTTGTGTGGATCATGTTTTTCTGGTAGGTATCACTGGTTGATGGTTAGGACAGGATCCTTTAAGTCGGCAAGTCCTAACTGGACATTGTCTTTCTATACTCTAGAAAGGAACATGCCTACAATGTTGTTCTCTCACAGTAGTAGACTGAGACAGTTGCCTCTCAATCACAATGAAAGCAGCTTTGGTAACCTTTCAGCTTATCTTTGTACAAGTTCAATTGTAGACAAGCCGGTCTAAACTACTGCTAGAAGAAATTGATATTCTTCGCTTCACCGTTTTACACCAAATACCATCTTTAAGCAATTACGATTACCATCTTAAACATGCTAACATCAAAAACCTACAAAGAAAGCAACAAAGTTTGTAAAGACTGCTGTGAATTTTATGACAGACATCTTTTAATGGTACTCATGAAAATCTTCGTCAACACCTAACATGATACGGTCAACATTTAACATGACACGTTCGCTGATTATTTGTACACAACATTCTACAATATAGAAGTAAAAGACACCACATGTTCTTCACACCTGCTGACTATAAGCAGTGATGTTGTTGTTGTTATTATACTAGTAATCACAAAGTCACAACTTCTTGAGTAGCATGATTTAGGGTCTAAAAGAACACAACATACGTCTACGCTTCACTTTTCAACCTGGGGCAACCTAGAACATCCAGGGTGCTGCTTGTTATCAAATTTAGAGTGCACTGCTTATTCAGAAATTTCAGTAAATCTTTTCAAAAATACCTAACTGAAAGTTTGGCCACAAAGACAGGCACAGAATAACGGAATGTCTAGTATTTACAGCAAAAAGAAAACTTTCTCTTTTCAACCCCTCCTTTCTCCAAACAGCCCCCAGCCTTCTTCAAACCAACCGAACTTCAAGATAATATAGAGGTTTAGGGTAGCCATCATCTATCTATGTATACATCTAATATTAGCTTAGAGTAGAAATGCACGTGACGTTAGATAAGTGTTTAGTAGCGACGGCGTTTCATGTCGTAGTCTGGAGGTCCCTGGTCCATCATCGGGCGTCGCATGCCGCCCATCCCGGGACTCCCCATCCCGCCTGGACCTCGCGGACCCCCCATGTCGCCCATTCCCCTGGGTCCCGGGCCAGGGCTGGGGCCTGCACCCCCTCGGGGACCCCCGGGTCCCATCCCACCCCCTCCCATGGGGCTCATGCCACCGCCTGGACCACCCATGCCCGGTGGGGGCTGGTCAAACCGGCTCTGACGCTGTAACGGGCAAACCAGAGTTCCAATCCCGCAATTTGCCAACAAGGCAGGAACGTACGTGTCCAAAAGGATTCGTATAGTGCCAGTGAATCAAGTTTTTTAAGTCCATTTATGATATGAAGTATAATCCACAAGTTGTAGAGTGATGTGCAAGATGTTTCCGGGTATGTCCACATCGGTACGCAGCAAGCGGTCGCCGGGAAATACGGGTACATGGGGGGAGAGAGAAAGTTGAGTATTTGGTTAGCAACGTCATCCCTGAATCTACAGACACAAAACTTACGGTGCACGGCTGCCAGGGCAGTCTCTCCAGACCGCATGGAGCTATCTGTGAAAGACAACTTCTGCAAAAACTGTACAACAGCACGTAGATCATTAACTATGTTCATCAAGCTGGTATTGCAGTTATGATCATTGTTGTAAGTATTGGCAAGTCCTAACTTCACCACCAAACTCAGTAAATTGGAGAGATCTGGTTCTACAGTGTAATAACTGTGTCAATCTGCAAAAAAATGTAAAATGTTGCTTCTAGCATTTGAACAGTATCGGTTCTGTGGCTATCATTTGTGACATACTCCTTCAAAACTAGCATCTGTTGACTAGTGCATAATTTTGATGATTATAGATTTGTACAGAGCATATGAAATGCTTTACCTGATCAAGTTTTAACAAACGGACTATGTATGATAGTCCTACAAAGATCTGCCTTCAACATAATTTGATGCTGAGTCATTTCAATTTAAACAAAATTCTGAAGAAAACTTCATTTGGCATTGGACTGTCTTCTTTATGACATGAAAATGAACTGTAGCTGATGTCATTGATAGTCAAGACACTAACTGCACAGATCTGACTTATTGGACTTCAATGTTGGTTTTGCAATGTTGACATCTCCGCTCATATAAAAAATCAATCGATATATATTGAAACCAAACTTTTAATTTCAAAAGAATTCCAGAAGAAAACTGGTGTTGACTGCTTAAAAAAATAAAGCACTTGGGCATTGGCTTTGACCACAATTAAGTCTCAAGAATACGTTCTGTCAATGTGGCTAATAGACGGCTGGTCTGCTATTGCACAAAGCTATAAAATGAACATTATTTTGGCCAGCTTGTGATGAAAAAAAAAGTTTCTTTAGTCTACAATAAACATCATCATGGCTTTAAATAAAAAGAACATCATTTGGTCCCAAGTGTAATGATTCTATCATGTCTGACCAAATATCCTGTGAATAAAAGATGATGTTACATGTACACAGCTAAGTAACAAGTCTACTAACTTTACAGATAGATTCATGTATGTGCCTTAGATATCACAATAAATGCTATTTGCAGTTGTCTATGTGTCCTTATCGCTATTAGAAAGATAAGAAAATTCCCGCATTACCCCAACATACAGCCTCCAGATCTCCAACGTGTAAAGTAAACCTTTATTGTCAGTACTGGTTAACTAAATCAAGCCAAGAAGCTAAGCATGAATGTCCCAAAACCCCCAATGTACCTCAGTTATGCATTGAATGAACAAAGACCTAGAGTGCAAAATTGAACCACAGGTAGATTCCAAGTATCAGTTGTCAAAGAAGCTTAAACAGAAAGAAAGATACAAAAATCCAAAACAATGAACTGCAACTGGACTGCAAAAAGAAGACAATGTGAAATCTGACCATCAACTGAAGTTGTATCAATAGTATGTGCCTTATTGATTGAGAAATTCATTACGAAAGTTTTCCTACATATACTGTTGACTACTGTATTTCTTTCTGATATGGACTAACATTAATTACAACGAACAAAATCCGTGCTTGAATTGCCAACAGAGGCTGTATCATCCTAGTTCCGTTACTGACTGGCAAATCATCATGGCAAGACATCAGTAAGATTGGCTGTACCAACGTTTCAATATTTAAGGTACATCGTATGGCCTCAAATAAGGGAAAAGGGATCACCTTTAGTAGGCTTTACCCTCCTTTACAAAACTTGAGCATACAAGGACCAAGTTGTGACAACTGTATTTATGCAAAAGATGCATATATGTTGTTGCTCATTGATATGGCAAAAAAAATGCCGTGAAAAGAAACTTTTTTTCACTACTGTTGATTTTATCACTGGACTTCTAAACCATGTAAAACAGGAATGTTCAACTTCCTTTGCCTTACACAGATTCGCACCCATCTCTCTAGTATGTTTTCTAATAAAAACGTGAGCATACTGACCAGAAGACTCAAATCAAGCCCTGGATGGTCTTCAGTCACGTAACAGCATTTCCTAAATCTAGTAGACAACTGTCTGCTTGGTATATTTTAATATACAGGACACAACAACCTGATGGTATGTTACACTGTAACAACAGGCTACAAATCAAAGTTTATACACGTTGGAGAAATTCTGGAGGCCGTATCCTTCCCAACAAGACTTCCCAATGATTCCCCACAGCTCGAAGCCCAGGTACGTATTTTTACAGAATATCAACATGGAAAAGTGTGGCAAGGACATGGCATGGCTTTTAATTGGTGGACTGAAACTAAATAAACAACATGCATTTGGATTGATGCTTTTACCTACATGACAAAAATTGTTGATCCCAAGACTTATGACTGGAGAGGCAGTGTTACCCACTCTACTTTTGTAGAGCACTTTATATTGGTATGTTCTACTTTCGTAGAGCACTTTATATTACTATGTATGAGATATAATGCCATACATTACAACTTAGATTGCAGTATATGATTTGTTTATCATAAATTGTGGTGGTTATCCAAGTCAGAGTTGAAAACACACCTGACCCATAGGATTAGGAATATGCTAAAGCTACGGCAAAGTGCAGTTTTGCAAGGTACATCCTACAGAGACTGAAATAGGTTGTCACAAAAGTACATGTCACAGCTCCCACCCAGACTGAAAGACAAGAAAGGTCTTCTGTTGTCTTCTGCACTGTTGATTATGATTTCTGATTTTTATCATATCGCTATATCAACTTCAGCTTAACAAGTCTTTTACTGAAAATCGATCACCAGAGTAAAATGTTGCCTCACAAATTATGGTATATCAAATGCAATCAACCCCTCAACTGTTGTAGATTTTTAACCACAGCTAGCTTCAAAAGCCCAAAACATATGTTTTCTTACTTGGGTATGTCATTTCAATGGTTCACGTTTAAGTAGAAACGTAGTTGAGTCTGAGACAGGTTAACTTATCGTCAAGATTCTAGACAATATTCATCATATATAGCTCTATAGAATCAGATACAAATACAGTGTACTATTCCCCCATTACCTGTTACTCCCCTCAAAAAACATTAGAGATTGATTTATGAGCATGAAGCAACAAAGTCTGTTATTTCATCAGCAACCACATTGTCATAAATACAGTAGGCACGAGGTTGTCCTATTTAAACAATCAAGAGAAACTTTTATGCACAAGTATTTATCCCCACCCAACATCAGGATTGGTATAACTGCCTCTCCAGTTTTACAAAACTACAGACAAAACATTAAGTTCCTTGCCATGTCCTTGCCACATCATCAAGACAAGATATCAGGTCTCTAGATATACGTGTATTTGAATGCCACAAAATTCCCAGAGAAAGTGTAAACTATAAAAGCATTCGTAGCTGCCAACTATCAACAAAGATTGGTAAGAAGGACTTGGGAAACCAGGTTAGATACAGACACTACTGTGTCACCATACCATCCTCTCACACACACACACAGTCTCTCACACGTACGACACCTTACCTGCATGTTACCACCTCCCGGAGACTGGCCCATTCCGCCACCGCCCATGGGTCCACCCTGGCCCATATGGCCCCCTCCTTGCCCCATGTGGCCGCCGCCCTGTCCCATGTGTCCTCCGGATCCCATGGGTCCGTTGTTGCCCATGTTGCCAGGGCCGCCGGGACCCCCGGGACCACCAGGTCCAGACGGGCCGCCGGGGCCGCCCGGCCCACCAAAGTTACCGCCACTGTTGCCACCAGAACCGCCAGGAGTGCCTGGGCCTCCGCCCATAGTACGGATAGCTTCTTGCTGTTCAGGAAATAATTTCATTCACTAAATCAAATACAATGTGAAATGCAGGACTTGAAGAACCATGGAAATATGGATGGCTTTTTGCTGTTGGGAAAATAATTAATTCTCTAACAGATATAATTTGGAAGCAAAGAAAGAAGGAACGGAAACACTTTTTGCATATAATGTATGTCCAAGACGTTACTTGTACTTTTCTTGTGTTTTATAAGATCTAGTAGAGTATGCACAATTCAGCGATTAGCCACCGTGTACAATTTGTTAATAAACCATTCATTCATTCATTCATTCCATCAATCACATAGCATGTATATCTTGGTCTTTCCTAGAGGTCCAAAAGATAATAAATGTAAGTTTCCAGCGACTAGAGAATTGTCGTCTTACCTGGATCATGTATTGCTTCCTCATGTCATCCTGGCGCATGGCCTGCTCTCTCTGAAGAAAAGCACAGACAACTATTAATATGTGGCAACTGCTACAATAACATACATGGCAACTGTTACATATGTGGCAATATGTGGCATGTGTAAACTGATAACAAATGGCAACATCACCCTTTAAAATAAACTCCATGCCTTTGCAACTTGATATTACGATGCCAGGAGTTTCGAATTTCTGGACTGTAAGCACAATTTTGGGGTCTGAGCTTTCAGATCTACTTTAGAAAAAAAGTGCATGTTTGAACTTTCAACTTTGTCCTGACCTGTAGCCTGAGGTCGTCGGCCTGGCGACGGCGCATGGCCTCCTCCTGCTGCTGACGAAGCATCTCTTCCCGCCGCATCTCATCCTGACGTCGCACCTCGTCCTGACGCCTGGGAACAAACACGGGAATTATTCCAACACATCCACAACAACTACAGTTCATCCGTCGGTGGAGGTTAGACATCCAGGTAATAAGATATTTTTGCATGCAACTTTTTTCATCTGTGTGACAATCAAATCCAGAAGCTTATCTTTGATGTTGTTTTCTTAGGTCTGATTTAGATAGTCTGTGGCACTTCTTCTGAACAAACAGGAGACCCAAAAGTTTTGAATATCCCATGACTGAAAAGCAACTGTTAACAGCAGAACTGTAGCCTGGGTGCCATCCTATTTGCATGCCAGGGCTCCCATACTCGTTTCATATTTCTCAGGGAATGAGTATGCGGTATGGGAGCCCTGGCATACAAATAGGATGGCACCCAGGCTAGCAGAACTTATCTATCTGCAGCAATCTATTGAACTAATTCGGCACTCATTTGATGTTTCAAAACAGTAGAAATTTTTCAACTGTCTTTGCAGGGTCGGCATGCATTATATCTCAGTCACAGCATACAAATGCTGAAAGACACATGACAGAGGCCATCCAATTCTATAGAGCACAGCACAACATTAGATCCTATTCTAGCCAGGTTATAGAGGTAATACAGGATTAGTTATCACGACCATGCAGGTAAAACTAGAGACACGACACCAGCTAAGTTCTGACCTCCCGACCGACCTCATCTGCACCATCTCCTCTCGCTGGCGAACCTCTTCCTGGCGTCTTAAAGAAACAAACAACACCACCCGTGTTTTCTTACACACAAAATACCATACACTTTGACTTGCTTGATCATTACAAGATGATAGCCACCTTAGAATAGAAAAAAAGTTCCTCAAAGTGTAATAGACAAAAACAGTTCCTGACAAAGTGCATGGCACAAGTAAAAAAACTACCTTAAATGTTTCCTGACAGTAGAAAAATCATGCATTGCTTCATGCACAAACAAAAATACTAGAGAACTTATTTGCACTATGCATAACCTGATATTTTATGCTCCCCAACATACTTAAGCACATTGAAGCATTTATAGTAAATGTTGCTAGAGCACTGCTTCATACCTCTGTAAAAGCTATTAAAGGGGCAATTTTTTTTCCGACATTTGTTAGCTGACTTGTGTTTGTAAGTAGACCGCAGTAAAAAAAGATTTCATTTTGACCTTCATTTTACACGTTTCAAACTGCAAATCATGCCTTATTTTGTGGTCTCTACCTTGTAGAAGTGTCTAACTCCAGATCTAAGTTGAGTGTTGGGCAGTTTTCTACTCTCCTGCCAGGCAAAGGCAAGGTTTGTACAAAACATGTCCAGTTCATATTTGCCACCCCATGACACACCATCCGCACAGGTCAGCTGAGATGCAACGCCACGGAGGGCAGATTCTAACTTAGTAAACAGCATGAGTCTTCAGCAAATCTCGCGTATATCTTGTAGTGGTCTACTATTACAAAATGGACCCTAGCAAGTTGAACTCTGGGTATCTGTTCACTTTTTCTTATTTTCTAAGAAACCACAAACCTTCCTCCAGCAATCTGTAATTTTTAAATATCAAAGCCTCTTTTGAAATATTATTCTTTCAGAAAAATTCACCTGATTTTGTACCAATTTGTTAATCTTCAAGCAGACCCTACAATGACAAGGCAGTACAAAATGTATCCCTTGGCCAGAGGAGTGTCCATTAACTACGTGGTCAATGGACACTGTCTGGCCAATTTGATACTGTCTTTAGCGGCCGCCGAAAGATCTGCTTGAAGATTATACTATTACTAATTTGTATTTGAGAGAACATGTCTCTTGAGCTACATAGACAGGATATTACTACTACACACCTCATCTCGGATTCCCGACGCCGCATTTCGTCCTGACGGCGCATCTCCTCCAGCCTACGCAGCTCTTCCTGTCGGCGCATCAGGTCTACAGAAGGAAACGTGTTAATAACCATGCAAAAACTTGTCGTGCTCCATGGAAGACTTTGTTTCTCATGTCCATATCACACACTGTCAGAAACTTTGGCTTCGCAGGCTGACTTTGTCACTTCACTTTGCAAAGAACTTATGTTCGGTTTCTTGCACAGAGCTAAGCTCAGTGTTGGACAGTTTTCTACTCTCCTGCCAGGCAAAGGCAAGGTTTGTGCAAAACATGTCCAGTTCATATTTGCCACCCCATGACACACCATCCGCACAGGTCAGCTGAGATGCAACGCCTCGGAGGGCAGATTCTAACTTGTTCAAAATCTGTTAAATTTCAAGTACTCAGAATACATTGATTGCTCAAACTCTGTTCCAGTTTGAGACAGTGCTCAAAATCCGTTTGCAAGCTCAAAATCTCTTCAATTTTGAGTGAGCTGAGACAATGCATTTTATAACTGACTCTTCAAAACCTTCATGCCATACAGTAACAGTAATATGGACATGGACAGAATCTTCACTGTTCAGACAGCCAAGGGAGTTTGTCATCAACTTCTTAGAGAAGATGATCAGAGCATAGTTTTATGTTCATCATGACAGTTTCAGGTACCTTCAAAAAATGAATTTTATATTTCAAAGAATATTTTGAAAATATAACTTTTGGATTAGTTGGTACATGCAATAAGAACTTAGTGTGCAATCTTATGCAGCCAGTTTTGTATACTGTGAACCAAATTTTTTTGTGCCTAGAAACTGAAAGATGAACATAATTCATGTGTCATATATTGTGAAAGCCTCAAAGGACAAGAAAAACACCAAAATCACAACACCAAAATCACAGGCATAAACAAGACGTACAGTACAGAACAACCATGTGCAAAATATGAGCTGCCACGTTAAAAACTAAAAACATTCAACATTTGTGAGCAAACTGTTGTGCAACTGAAAATAAACAAGGCATGCTTGCAATCATAAAGACAAGTAGAAGCTGGAAACAGAACAAGCAAGACAATAACCTGGTGTCCAGTCTAACGTTGTTGGGGTGGGTTTTCTTCGGGGCTGCTGAAGCTCTTCCCCGTCCACCTGAGCTAGGTTCCCCAGTAGTTTTAGCTCAACGGGATTTGGTTTGCGATTGTGGTGGGCTAATCAACTACTGGCATACCAAACTCTATCACAGGTATAACACTCTTACCAGGCAGTCTGTTGAGCTGGGCGGGGGAAACTAATAGAGCCATAAAGACAGCCTGCCCCAACCACAATAGACTAGATACCAGGCTAGCAAGACCGTTCCTACGTACCCTGGCGCATGAGGTTCGCCTGGTGTTCGTGGATGGCAGACTGCATTTCTTCCTCCAGCTTCTCCCGTGCCACAAGGATGCGTTTCTCCAGGTCGTCCCGCTGCTGTTTCTCCATCTCATACAGCTGCTTCCAGCGCTGAGACATGTCGAACTCAAACGTGGACGGGTTGATGAACCTCGGCTGAACCTCACGTTCACTGCATGAAACGGATAGTCCATGCATCAATCATACAGAACTCAAGATATTTGTCCCACCCACTAGCATAGCGCAATGCTGGTGGGTGGGATGAAGGGGTTATAGCGAGATTTAGGAGAGAATGCATGTACAGTCAGTGCAATGGATGCAGTGAAAATTGGAATTATTTTTGTGTGAAGCATTCACTGTACGACCGTCAATGCATAAATTAAGGTATTGACATATTCATCCAACTCACTAGTAGAAGAAAGGGGTAATGGAATTCATTTCACTGCACAGATGAAAGAAACAGGCTTTTTGAAACATTAACTACAAATCCCCCAAGCTTTCGCCATCTAGAAGACTTCCAAAAAGCCACAATTCTACTAGATCACAAAACACCTAACACAAACACCAAAACACCTTTCTGTTTTCGACACCATTTCTAGTCATTTCGTGTAAGAAAATTACAGAAGGATGTCTAGTATAAAGTTGCTGTTCAGCCAAGGAACATGTCTCTTCAGAGATGCACTTCAGAGACTCTAGTCCAATTCTGTTCCATTCATCATGACAGCATGAAAATTACGGAATACACATCTCTGTTTACTTTGATGTCAATGACGAATCACTTGGAAGAATTTTATCAACATTTCGTACAAATACTTAGGATACCTCCATCATATTTGATAACAAAAATTTAGTCTGTATGCCAGACTGTTCTCAGGCCAATGCTAAGTTACACCCTAACTGGTAAAATTTTGTTGCAGACATGTTAGCCCTGAAGTCCAGGAGCTAGACTGTATACTGGAGCTAGGCTGTGTACAGGACCTAGACAACAGTCTAACATCCATGCTAGGGAAAATTAGGACCTAAGAAAAGAAAGAGACAAGTTGAATAGTGCTTTCATTGATCCTTACCGTGTGTAGTTGGCATTTCTGGCAATGTGTTTCTCTTGCAGACCATCCTCCTCATCCTTCTGTTCTAGTGGTTCCACAAGGATTGGCTTGGGTGTCCTAGAAAGTACAACCCAAGAAGACAAATAAATAAATGTAATGTTTTTGTACAGTATATCACTTATGTTTGCAGTACCAAAAGTCTGAGGTCTGAGAGAATTGAACATGTTCACAGAACTATATATTCACAGTGGCGGCAGGCTCAGAAAAAAAAGGTAGTGATTAGTGAATAATTTGTTCCCAGTAATGATAAGTTCACAGCACGGAAGTGATCGAAAAACTGCAAATATAAAGTACAATCAACAATGTACCATGAAAAAATCGTGGATTACAAACACTTCATTACACATCACCTGCCATGTGTCTAGCCAAGCTAATTTCCATGGCAAATTAGTCAATTTGCATAAATTCACAGCTTTGATTGTGTTTAATCAAGATAATGCAGTGAGTCCTTTGTTCAGGCCAGATGTATTGGCTTAAAACCTCTCTGATTTACATAAGTTGACTTGGCCATCTGGAAATATCACTGCTGGACAATTTTGTGTCAATAATTATCAGTCTTGTTGCCATAGACATCTACAATAACAATTGCTTTTGGAATGTGAAATACTTTGATTTTTTTTCAATAATGGCTCCACCATGATTAGTAAGCTTTGACTATGCTTGTGCTTTGACTATGGTGGTGCAATTTGCTTGTAACAAAGTTGCTGTTCAGCCAAGGAACATGTCTCTTCAGAGATGCACTTCAGAGACTCTAGTCCAATTCTGTTCCATTCATCACGACAGCATTTCAATCAAACATGTGCATTTCACTATAACTAAATTTTTAAAATTTGTACTAAAAAATCTGGCCAAAAATAATCAAATATCACCATTTTGCATTGTTTTGCAACAATGGAAGGTTCACAAAATCTCGGGATTTGCAGTACTTTGAGACTTTGGAATGTCCACTAAGTTTCGTCATTTGGATCATTTCTAGACCCTGAAAGATTCCCAAAGTCTTGTAGTTTGTAGACAGTGGCAATACTTATTAAGCATACATCATTACATGTATTCACGGGTGTGAAACTTACGCTGTGAGGCAGAAGCAGCCTTCCGAGATCCTCTTGATGGCGTTTGTCGCTCCCGGCTTTCTGGCAAACTCAACGATACCCTCTCCAGTGGGGCGCCCCCTATCGTCGACGATGACAACCGCACGCTCGACCTCCCCAAACTGGGTGAAGGCCTGCTCCAGGAGTTCGTTGGAGACGTGGGGGGAGAGGTTGGTGACTTTGAGGGCCGCTCCGTGCGTGGCGAACCGGACGCGAAGCTGCTTGCCCTTCCGCATGGTGCCGTCCAGGTCGGATTTGGCGACTTCGGCGTGATACCTGGTGTCCTGTGGGATGCAGTTTTGGTCAGGACGGACAACAGCAAGGTAGCAGAGCAGTAAGATACAAAGATTTGGCCAATGCTATGAAGGTTTCTGTAATCCATTTCAAGTGCAGCCTTTTACGTTTAACTTTCTTTAACATTATTGGGGCACAAGCTCAATGCAATCAGATAAGCGTTACATAAGTCAAATTCAACTGCGTTCTCTTGGTCAATGTTTTTGTTTCAATTATTTTCTTTGCCAATATATCATAAGGTTATTGGGGCATAAGTTCCATGCCCTCAGACAAATGTTACACAAGTTAATTTCATCTGGCATTCTCTTCTTCTATACTGGTTCCATTCCAACACAATAGCAACTCACTCCAAAGCAAGCACTACAAATCACTGCATTCAAGCCAAGGGTTATGGTGGTATCGAAAATCAGCACGAACTTTCTTTCATATCCCACACGCCTGGCCATGTACATGGCTTTCCAAAATTTGGGTTAAGGTGATAGGATACAAGCATAGGTTGAAAAGGATGAAAATACAAGCAAAATACTTATCAAACATGCCAAATAAGTATTCTGTGTTTCCTAATTTTCCTTTTTTTTTTGCACACCTTATTCTGTTAACCCCAGCCACACTACAGACTTAGGGTAAACTCACCAATCGGATGAAACCAAACCCTCTCTGCTGATTCAGGTAAACCTCAGAAATCTCGCCATATTTCTGGAACAGCGATTTGAACGCTTCTTCGTCCGTATCTGGAGTGAATTGAGGAAATAAAAAGAGAAACCGTTTATCCATGGACAACTTACCATCTTGAGTAATCCGTACCCTTGGGCGGCCCGCAGGAATATCTCGGACACCTCCCCATATGTCTGAAACAGCTTTACAAAATCTTCTTCGCTGGTATCTGCAGGCATAAAGCGGGTCTGTAATGGGGTAGCACTTACACTTGGCAAAAATATTATCCATTTTTATTCTTATGCTTCTTCCATGAGACCGTTTTCCTAAATTTTGTCCCACAAGTGACGCAAGAATTTCCTTTAGGACAGGTTGGCCCTGGAGCTAGCCATGATACCGTCCTTGGCAACAGCCTGGCACCCAGGCTAATTTTTCATGGCAAAAATTATCTTGCAAAAGAAATCCTGCCCGTTAAATAATCTTTGAAGAATCTAGGATTTTTGTATGCCTTAAGGCAAAAAAGAACGATATGGGTGCCATACTCGAGCGTATACAAGTACAAGAAGCAAATTTTCTGAGCTAAAAAGCTCACTAAAGCTCACTTCCCAACCCACGCCATGCCTCCATGTCGCGCATCTTTGTTCGAAGGTCGGACGGAACCATGGAGGTAAAACATTTTATAAAAACGAATTACTTAATATTCCTCAAAAACTACCACCATCCAAGTTTTCTTCATCAACAGATGATATCTTTTCCTGTATTTCAAGGGAACCTTGCGGTAAATTTGGTCAGAAAGGCAGGGAAAATTCAGCTTGTGCCGGGACCCGGGAAAATTTAGCTTGTGCGATAGCAGATGCGAGCGCGGCATGGCGTGTGCACAAGCCAATTTTTTCTAGTCGAAAATTTGCCATTTTCCGAAGAATTTTACCTCAGCGAAAACATAAAAATCTTATAATCTATCACAGAATTCACGTATGAACCTAGAAACGTCCAAAGGACTGCTCTAAATAGCTGACTATTGGTGAAAATAAACCATTTCCTGTGCCTTGTGCAAATTTGTACCTGGAGTGAGATTTCCAACAAAGAGCCGGCATCTTCCCGTGAATTTCTTCTCGTTTTTCTTCATCAAAGGCTCCTTCAACTCCGGCGACATGATGGGTTCGTTCTTCTGTCGTGCGTCTGTGTCTCCCTTCCCCTTATTATCCTGCATTTTCTCGATTTTTATCGAATTTCTCGACATTGTGAGGAGAGGTCGTACAACTCTGACAACGCGAATTCTGAAAATGGCGTCTCTCGTCTGATCTGACTCACGCGGTGCTCATTTGCATGCCGGAAATGACCGAAGGTGCCCGAACAAAGCCGAAGATTTTGGGTCAGTGAGTAAGTGCGTTCCACGTGCATAATATGGCATTTTAAAGATCTTTACTTTTAAGATCTTTCCTACAACATTTAAGGCATAACCTTGCATGTACAATAAACAAGGTATACAATGCATGCAAGTCAAAAGACTGCTGAAATATCAAATCATAAATGTGACTTTATTTTACAATATTCAAAGTAATATCGACTCCCAAATTATCCATAATTTGTCTTTAAAAATATAAATCTTTTCACGTTTCTTCTATAGAAAAGTTTCCGGTCTTTCCCGCCACGTATGACGACACGATAATTGTAAATTTATTTCCCGCCACCAATTAGTGTTCGGCAAAGTTCGTGAAAGAAGGAGCCTTGCTGAAACACTTCCAGTAACTCTACACGAAGTCAGTTTGCTTGTGATGAGGGCAGCAGAAAGTTATTTCTTCAGTTGTTTGTCTCTTGAAAGGGCATTTAAACATCCACATTACAAGTAACTGGATTTTGAGGTGACACATTTAGGCATGCTTTCCTTTCGGGAAAGATCGGAAGTCGTGTCCTCGGGTGCCTTCGGCTTCAATCGGATTTCCATCATGGCGGAAGAGCGTGCGGGTTTCGGGGAGGTAGGACGTGACTACTTATTTATCGCGAAATTCTGCTTTTATTTTCCTTCCAACCTACACGATTTGGTGTCTATGAGTAGGATTTTGCACCACATTTCCGCACACGAGCAGTAGAGGGATTGGTAATCCCGCATTTTTGCAAATTTGTGGAAAATTTGGGTCGCGCCACCCTCGGCCCTTTATGCGTTTTGCATGACAAACCAAGCTGTTTTCCGACCGGCGTCTGGCCACATTTTGCCGCCCCATCGCTCGATTTAGAGACATTTGTGTATAACTACTAGTTTCCATAACCTCTGTTAATGTTGATGAGCGGATGGCATAGTCGTAAACAGATGTGTCAGTTTTTCAGGGTGTTTTCTCGCTATTCGCGATACCCACCCCTAGCAATGCTTACTGACTCTCCCCCGTGGTATTTTCGTTAGGTACGCACTCCTTCGCCATCAGAAATGGACGTCACCGGGTCGAACGGTCAATCATTTGCCGCCGATGACACCGTGTCATCATGGCAGACACAAAAGCAACCAAATTCGAACGGAGAAAGCGGGAATGGAGACCAGGAGGAGCCCAGTACATACTCTGGGGGGCCCACTGTAGCAAAAGGGGGGATTCTGACTCCAAGTGGGGACCCGGAAAATGATAACATGACTGATGCCTCAGGTGATGTCAGTGTTGCTATGGTAACAAGGGATGAGGAGGATGAGCCAATGGAAGCTGTGATAAGTGAAGATGATTCTAGCACTGAGCCCAGAAATGGCCAGAACAATGAGCAAGCCTTTCCTGAGCTAGATACATCTTCTGCAATGCAATCAGAACATAACACAGACAGTAACTTAGAACCAGAGGAATCTTCACTTGACAATTTCTCACACGCAGATGTAGATATCACAGATGGGCAGGACGTAGCCAGCAGTGAAGAAAGGGAAACAGGAAGGCAATCAGACAATAGTAACATTCCAGTGGTAGAGCCAGGTGGTGCTAGGGATAGTTCATTTGAGGTGATTGGCGAGGAAGAAATCTCCAGGGTTAGGCCAGTTGAATGTTTTAACTCCGATATGCCAACAGACATGTTAGGAGAGTATGATTCTGGCATACAGCAGCCAGTCACACCACCAACCCCCCTACAAGATGAGGATGCCCCAACCCCCTTACAGGACGAAGTAATGGACACAGAAGAGCTTGATGAAATGTTAGATAGCAATTCTACTGGCCCATCCGTAGATCATGATACTCAAGCACCAGAAGTCAAAGTGGTGGAAGAAAACGCATCTTCTGCCCAAGACACTGACACTCATGCAATTTCAACAGAAGAAAACTATGAAGAAGATCTAGAAGAGCCTGCTCAGCCCAGAGCAGACTCTCCTGTACCTGCCTTGGGGCTTGTCTCATATCCGGATTCAGAAGGAGAAGATAACCAGTCAGAAAAGGACGTCGTAACTGAAGACACCGAAACTAACAAGTTGCAGGAAGAAGAAGGTGAAACATCGGAAGAAAGGGCGTCACCTGAGAAAGAGGACAGAATCGCAACTGAGGAACCTGTTGAGACTGATGCCAGCTTACCTCCTGATGACCATGTCACAACTGATACTGATATCCCAGTAGCTCAGGAGGAAAATGAAACAGAAGAGCCAGTAACTTCTCATTATATAGCACAGGAGGAAAAAACAGACTATGTTGTTGAACCAGACTCACAACAAAACTCAGAAGCTCTGCCGACCATCCTGAAGGCTTTTGCAAGCTCCGATGTGCCCATAGAACCAGATGAAGAAGAAGTGGAGGAGAGTGGTACCCAGGATGAAGCAGATGTACATCAGGATGCTGAGAGGATGGAGACAGAAGAAGTGGTACCCAATGAGGAGGAGACAGGAGAACAACAGACTGAACATGCAGAGCAAACTGCAGAGCTGCAGGAAGCTGAAACTGGCAACAATGAAGCTGAGAGTCAAGAAAACAACAAGGAGGAGGAAACTGAAAGAGATGAGCCAGAAAAAGTAACGGAGGCTGATTCTGAGACAGCAGTGGTCTCAAAGTCACCTGAAAAGGTAATTTTGCAAGTCACTTTGGTAGTACATTCATTTTTTTAAATTTCTCAGTGATATTAAGTTTTCAGTGAAAGTGATGCAAGAGCTAAGAAAAGTATATCAGTATTGCCACATTTGTCTGTCAATCTTTTGAAGCGATTTTTTTAAAACAATTTTTTCGTCAATGGGAGTCCAAACAATCCTCCTTAGTGGCATATGTTCCATATTTTGTTGATATGTTTATGTTTAGTTTGTTTCTCATGTTGATTATTTTTTTGTTTAACTGGATCCATGTAAGGTCAAGTATCCATTGAAGTTACCATGAATGTCTCTATAACCGGTAATGTATATAACAGTATATATATTTTTCATGAATCCATCCCCCCAGAATGAGGCTGAAGATGGGGATTGGGACATCATTGATGTGACGGATGAGGTCAAAGGTGAACCTGACATCATCACCATCGATGATGATGATGAAGATGCAGAGACTAAAAAGGTTCGAATGTTTCAAACTCCTTTGTTCAGCAAGGAATGATTCTTGGAACAGTTTTCAAACTGTGGGGCACTTATAGACAACATTATGTCTGTGTATAGAATTTACACTATGTATCTGAAGATATGATGCAAAATGCCATTCCAACAAGTAGAAGAAAGCTTGTAAGAATGGTAAGTAAATGACTCAACACCTGTTGTCCTAATATGTTTTAGGTGGGCACAAATAAAGATGAGCAAGCAGAAGCAGGAGTCTCTACAGGTAAGGACTTTATCTTGGTAAAATAAGATCAGTACACAAAGATTTGCCATGTCTACTTCCACATGGAATTCAGTTTGGGTAGTACTATGACTATGAGATTGACAACTTTGTTTTTACTATTGATGTTTAACAAACATGTTTTTACTATTTATGTTTAACATAGAGCTCAGTGATAGTTATAAACTGTTTCCAGCATGTGTTCAGAAAGAAGTAGTTCTATAAAAAGTGTTCT